CTGACTTTCCTGCTACTTTGCAAGTATCATAAATCTTATCATGAGGGATGTATGACGCCACACAGGGATACATTGTTGTATGGTGGTGAAACGGCTAAGAAAAAATACACGCTCTTTGTTTGACTTGCAGGAAAATGAAAAACATGAAAAAATATTTAGATCTGCTGCAAATACGGTGTTCAAATGAAAGAAATAGTTAGAACAGAAATAGAGATAAGAGCAAAATTAATTGCTGGTTTGGATGCATCATGAGTATTTTTTTGAAATGGCTGTTATTCCCCCAGTGAGTGTGAAGTGTCCACATCAAGGAATGGACTTCACCCTGTCAGCTTCAGCTTCTCTGGGGATTAGCTATTCTATTGTCTGCTTCCCAGTCTATCCACAAACAGAAAGACATAATGTGCATGTGCACACATGTGCACACAAAAACACACACAGCAGGTTTGTGAATAAAATACAACAACCGAATCTCTCACACGCTGGTTCATTCAATCTACTTAGTTACTGGTCCTATTCCCGCTAAAGAATATTCTGTAAGGCATTAAATCTACCATACTGCAGAGTTCTACGATGCATGCATCTGCATTAACGATCAAAAAGCAAAAAACAAACTCAACAGAAAATAAAGCCATGTGCTGTGAGACACTGCATGTTAGACTAAACGTAATTGATTCTAACGTATAAATATCCAATGTGCTTGAGCACTGCACGCTGTGATATTTGCATGTCCAGTTCTGTCATGCCCTTCACGTAGCACACGTTTATCAGCTATTTGAACTCGAGCAGAACAAGGTAACACTCATAGGCAGAAAAGGTAACATACACATAGAGCTGTTTTACAGTAACAGTAAATCTCTCCAGCTCACACGGTTTTGCTGTGTCATGCCAAGCACTAGGTCACCCCTAAAAACGCTGCAGAACCGAGGTGGAGGGTTTTGAGTGAGTAAGCATTTTACACCTACCTTGCAGCTTCTGCATCACATTGGTAATATCCCGCGTGGAGTGTCCATAGCGCCTGGGTGATGCCATGCTGCTGACCCGAGATCATCTAAATCACGTCCCAACTTCGGTGCGTCACCCTGGCAAGTCTCTGATGCTGATCAGGACTCAGACTAAGCCGCAGTAGTTTGGCACTCCCCACTGACTGCAGGCTGTCAAAGCTGAATCCTGTCCATGTTGCATGCTGCGTTGGTGTTTTCAAGTCATCGGACTTGCAGCAGTCGTCTGCAATCCTCTCACTCAGAGAAGCTCCTCCCCCCGACGATGATGATGTACGTTCATACTGTACGTGTATGCCAGCAATCACATACAGTATGCATGAGCCCTTTCTACTTCTGCAGTAAAGACAGCTTCCTGGTCTGCTTGTGCTGCCACCTTCTGTCCAATCAGAAGGGATGGCTCTTCCTTCTCACTTCAGGACCAATGGCATGAAAGGAAGCGTCCCGTGCCAACCGGGGCCACTGTAAGATGAAGAAGTGTGGGAGAGAAAGTGTTTGTCAGCAAGCGAGAGACACAACGGAAGATCAGAGGACAGAGTTTGCTGCAGCAGACCTCGCCTTCGAAGACAACAACACATTTCTTACTGGATGTTCATTTACATGAAGCAGTCGTACTGACTATGTTAAAGGATAAATCCATCTTAAAATGGAATTGTCATTGTAATTTCCTTGTGACGAGCATCACGACAGAAATTGATGATCAGGTGATCAGGTTGAGGAAATGTAAAAAAGAAGTGTATATTTATATAGATGTATGAATATGTAAAGCAATTTACATACAATGTATGTGTGCATGAATAAATATGTACAGTATGTATGATAGACCAATACGGGACATCTTGATGGATTCAGATGAGTGCTTAGTGGGCTTATTATAGTTATTAAGTGAATTTAAAAATGTAAATTGATGATAAATCGGCGGTTGTAAACTGAATTATGACGTAATTGATAATGTAGTCAACTAAAAACGATTAAGTATTAAGTAATGTTTGATTTGCAATTTTATAAAAGTCCCTATTTGATTTACGATGAATTCCTGTATTATTCGCTTCATCTCATCATTGCCTTCTTCCATTTCAACAACTTTTCTGAAAACTAAGGAGCATTTTAGGCCACAGTGCATTTTCCTTCTAAAATAAAGTGTGACACGTGGAGTTGGAAAGAAAGGCATCGATACGAGTAAACAATCGATCAAAACACACCGCAGCCGATAAAACGTCTCTCCAAAAACTCTGTATCCGCCATTTGCCATCGCACAGCAGATCAATGCCACTCTCTGAAAGGCAGGAGGGAGGTGTGATGAAACACTCGCCTCGGAGCACTTATCACGATGTGTAATCCCATTAGACAAGTCCTTTCATCATCATCTCAGAAGAGCTCAGAGCGGCCTAAAGGGGACCTACACCACTTTGGCCACAGCCTCGGCCAGCAGAGTGAGGGACTCCTCTGTCCCTGACATAAACAAAGTGGGCATAGAAGCTGATAAATTATTATTGATTTCAGATCACCTTCACAATTTGGCCGATGAATGCCACCGACAGAATGCACAGATGCAGGGCATGTTGATTCAATCTGTTGTGATGACGTCGTAGTGCAAGCTGCTTCGAGGATTAATTTATGGAATGGCTTTATGTTAATAAGATGCTGGCATTAGAGCAGGTGAAGGGGGATGTGGGGAGGGCGAAGGAGCTTACGTTATGTACTAAATATGCCATACAGAGGATGATATGCTTACCCAATCGCTAGTGTCGTATGAAAACCAGGAGCAAATCAATTCTCTTGGTAGTTAAAGCTCAACCCACACGGGAACAACTAAATACGCAATGCATCACAATAAATACAAATCTAACCATTTTTGTTGTTGTGTTGTCATAATCAGATGTTCCGACTGTTCAGCCACTGTGATAAATTGTGGGATTCGGTTGGATTTGTTGGCTCCTCTGCAGCACAGACGGACTGCTGATCCCCACATTTTTACGCAGCTCTGGTGGGGGTGACCTCTGCCGCCCGGAGCCCTGCAGGACTGAACGGATTCAGCAGGACAGACAGCAAACATTGCTGCTGCAGTGAGGGGAGACAAAGCACGTGGGTCAATAGAAAATCTTCCTATAGTAGCCGACCCAGTCTCCATTAAGAGCCGTTTTCTTATCTCATCAGAGCACGGGCTGAGAGCCCGGGACCGAGACCGCCTGTGTGGTAATCTCTTCCATGCACAGTCAGCAGTTTTCTAAAATCTCATTATAAAGTTTCGCGCTAACCTGAATGTCAAAATCAACATTATGCAAGAGAGAAATCCTGTTTGGTAACCATACATGTACTGAAAAACTCACTCAACAAGACATTTGATCTAGTATTGAGGTTTCCTTTCCTTAATTGGTGATGTTGCATGTTAAATACTAGATGTCACTTTGGCTGCTATATCATTTCTTTATAAAAAAAAAAATAGCAGTCGATTTGCCAACCTGGAGGTTTCTTTCCTTTGGACTAAAACCGGCTGGTTGGTTCTGCATGTTGGATAGTCTCTCTGCGGCTTTCAGGACACATGGTGAGACGTGCTGTGAAGTTATCCTGGAGTATTACGCCATCTACTGTTCATAGACGGGACAGAAAGACGCCATAGCAGAGACTGTCAGTCCCTTGCTGTTGACTCCATCTCTCTCAATCAGAATAATACTGACGACAGTGGTCAGTAAGTGCTGTCGCAGAGGGGCACATTGCTAAAAGCTCAGGAGATTAATGAGATGTTGATACTAATCTACAAGTAGAAACTCCTCACAGTTCTGTATTATTTAACCACAATAATATATCCATCGTTGTTGGCTACATCCTTGAAGACCATAACCATGTTAAACATTACAGTTTGCACACTCTAATTTCCCACCACTCTGCCCCATGACATTTTGATAAGGTTATGAACTCCAGCCAAAATGTTTAAAGAATGTGTCCTCCACCTATGAGCCCATTCCATTGTAGTTACTCTCTAACAGAACACAAAGGCCAGTGGCCACACATACTAGTGTTATGGGTGTTTGCCCGGTATTTAGGCAACAATTAAAGGAAGTTCGGGCTTTGGTCGGGTTATTTTCACTCTATTTTACAGTGAGAATGCTGCATGTTGTCAACTTTTAGGTTTAATACACTTTAAATGAATTTGTCTGAAGATGAACTTTTGATATCACTGGAGAGGAATAACAAGGAAACTTGAGAAATGTTGAGGTTGAATTTAAGGTGAAATATGGTCCAAGCTGATGGAACAAATGGGGTTGGTCTACATCAGATGCATACCAACAGGACTACTCGCATCCTTCCTTCGGCCTATACTGATGACCTTGCATATTTAACACTGCAGGATCAAGAATGAGCAACACGACGAGCTTCCTTTTCATTCACCATCACATAACTGTTCAAATGTAGAAATGTCGGTGCACTGAAAGGCTTTTCCATCTTATCAAACTGGAAATGTTTTTACTGGATCATTCCAGCTGAGAAAGGATCAGACGTCCAACGCAGGCCCCGCTGACATGGCAGACACTGTGGAAAGACTGAGGTTACTAACAGAGATGCTGGAAGTGAGAACAGGCAAATATCCACACAGCCTGTTCAAAACAATACACCAGGTCATAATTAACTGAGCATTAAAAGCACTTACAGTACTGTCACCGTCAATTCCAGCCGTGGTTTTGTGTTCTGACACCCGAGTCAGGCCTGTAACTGCCAGTGCATCGTATGCTAAACTGTTTCCTGTGGGCTCTGTGGTGGATGGAAAGAATATGAGCGAGATTGAAACATTTATCATTTCTGAAAGGAAGAAAAATAGCGGTGAGTGTGGTGGACTTTCCAACGGTGAAAGCTGTAGTCTTTTAGCACTCTGGTGATTTCACATTCATCAACCAGACGGAAATGATGGGAGAGGAAGTGATTACAGCAACACCCCGTCTCCCCACCTCCAGGATCTCTGTCCTGGATAGATAAGCCACTCCTGTTGCTAATTTCAAGCAGCAAGGCAGGAAATGTGACAGTGTAGTTTTCCGCTTCCATAAACAAGACGGCCCGCCAGAGTTAGCCGCCAGTGCCGCGTGCCTCTGGGCTCAGACATACTGACAGAGAAAGTGAGCAAGGGGACAGGAAAGGGGAAAAGTGAGAGAACAGGAAAGAGGGGAGGCAGAAAGACGGGAAAAGCAAAGGGAGACGGTCAAGGAGCAGCAGAAGAAGAAGAGAAGGGAGAAGAAGAGAGTTAAAGACAGACTGAACTGAGTATCAGTCGCTCTTCTTCTCCTCAAAGTCATGGCCGAGAACGACACAAATCTCTTTCTGGAAATACTTCGGTCTTTTGATGCGGGTGAGTTTTTTTCCAACTTCCCTTCTCTTTTAGCAGGTCTTTTTCATGTGGTCTCTGTGATTGGTGCTGTTCTTCTTACGAGAATTTCAGCTTTGATCACCTTTAAAACAGATTAATATGTGGGCATGAATCATCTTGTAGACATGTCAACTTTTGCAACTAAATCCAAATCCACAAGGTGCAGACATGTTTTCTTAGTTCTTTTCTCCTTTGTTTCTGTAAATGATTTTTCCAGATGACTTTTGTCCAGTGCCTCCTTTCCCTTCTCGCTAAAGAAAGTCTGTGGAAACATGGACTGGTAGAAAAACAGCTTCTGTTTTTAGCTTAACGGCATTGAGAGGAAATTGATTTGTTTTTGCTGGCAGCAGTCAGAAGCATTTGTTTAAGCCGCTACATTCTCTCTCTTCTCTCAAGCACACTTATGTGGCCACTACTGCTTCCAAGGCAGAGAGAAGTGAAATAGAATCAGCTCACTGTCTCGAAAAACGTGGTCTGGTAAACATGAAAGAGGAAAGACTACTATAATTTAGTCAAAAAGCCATCGGCAATCCTTTATTTGTAACAAACAGATGTTGTTGTAGTATGTGTTAAAATACCTTCCATTTCCAAACAATAGTCATAGCCAAAGGCAATTAATATCGTAGTAAACGTGGGTTTAAAACAGTTCATTCTGAACAGAAAATGTAAAGTAAAGTATAAGCCAAGTATCCTAGAAAAAAAAATGTAGAAAATGGATTTCTCTCTTTCCAGTCCCTTTGATCATAGCTTTCTGTGTGTCCATCGCGGTGGGCCTGGTTTTGGGGGCCTTGGTTTACGTGATCTTGACCTGGATGTCCCGACGCAAAGCGGGCTCTGCCAGGATCACCCGCCGTCCGCCCCGCCAATCACGCATGTCCCCCCGCGGCCGCCCGGGCTTCAACCGCAACAGCAGCTACGATCGGCGCAGCAACAACAGTTTGGTGAGCGCCGCCTTCAGCTTCCACCGGCAGACTTCCTCCGCGGATCCCCTCGATCCGCTCGGCCACAAATCCAGCTTCAGGGCCTCCACCTTCCACCCTTTGCTGCAGTGCAGCCAAATCGCGCGAGAGGCGGAGGAAGGGAGCCAGACCACGCTGCCGCGTACGCCGACGCTGACCACGTCAGCTGGATCGCCTCGGACGGAAGCCCGGCCGGCCGCCGCCCCACCCAGACCCGAGTCGTTTTGGGGGAACAACGGCCTGAAGGGTTCCTACGCTACACAGACCCCACCTCCAGCATACGAGAGCATTATTAGAGCATATCAGGAAACATGCACTTGAGAGGAGTGATTGCCGGGTTGACTCTTAACTAATTGAGCCCAGAGTTGTAAATGGATCTACGAATAACATTGGAATGAATCTGTATTGATTTATGTGACCCAGTGGAGCAGAGAAGACAACAAAGACATTGAGGTAAATTGCGTGCCCTGTTCAACACTATAACACTATGTCTTTTGATTTGTTGGTATATATCTGGTATTGACGTGAGCATTGTTTCCTTTTTCAATGCCGATACAAAACATAAAAAAACCCTCAGTTATGCGGAGTGCTCATGAACAGAAAGAATCCCACTTGAGCTGCCTGTATGAAGACGTACAAATACATACTGGTGACAGGGCATTTATGAAGCAAAAGAGTTAATATCTATGAAAAAAATGAATGATTGTGTATGTCAGCCCCAAAGGGTCAAAGTGGAAATTAGTTTGTAATTTAGTGTGTCTGCGTTTGTGAGTGCAGTATGTTTGATCGCGAGAGACTGTTTTGTTGTTTGAATTTGATTGTAATTTAATGAACTTTCCCCATAAATAAATGCAATAAAATCCAGAATGAAAAGCATTACAACTTATTCTCCACCTTAAAAACCTCTGGTCATCACAAAAGAACAATGATTACTTTGGAGAAGTTCCCAGGTGTGCTTCTTGCAGGTTAACGCCACACTACAACACAACATTACGTTACATATTTACAACGGCGTTAGCGAACACGGGTGACGCGTAATCTGCGCAATACGCAGCTGCGCTCATGAGAAAAAACAGGGGCGCTGCGACCGAAGGAAGACGCGACTCTGTAGCCTCTCCGAAGTTCTCCCATGAATACGGTAATGCCAATATTCATACAAGAAAACCCTTTAAACCGATTGACGTCCGCTTAATCGGCCACGCCGGTTGGCTCACGGCGAGAAGGCGTTTCCTACAAGCTAGCGTTAGCCCGTGTTAGCTAACGGTTCACTAAAGCGTTTGACCGGAGTGTTTCGTGTTTACTTTTTCGTGGTGCGTGTCACTCGGCCGGATTTGGTTCGAGCAGAAAGCCGGGACGCGCAGCGGCTTGACGGGCGAGGAACAGGCCGCAGAAGGCTTCGCCCGTAGCTTGTCGTTCCGTGTTAAACGCGGCTAACGCTAGCTAACGTTAGCGAGAAGAGCTGTAAGTGATTTGATTATTAAAGTTAGCTCGCTAATTGCATAACGTTAAGTTAACGAAGTTGACCACTAAGGCGGGGCGTCATTTATTGTTCCTAGTTGGTTAAATGTTGTTACTGCCGGTTGTTTAGTCGACAGAGCCTCGTCTCATTAGTTAGTTAGATGGCTGCGCATCATTTACCTTAACCTAAAGTTGGCTAAAGTAAAGTTATATCGTTACGTGATTCACATAAAATCACGTGTGACTCCCGGGAGTGTAAAGCGTCAGGTAGTTGTTGGTCTTCGTTCCTTTTAACGTGCTGCGGGACGCGCAGGTGGAAGATGTCCGGTGCGGCGCTGCGGTTGATCCGCTGTCGGAGACTGAGCACATCTGGGCCGCCTGGAGTGAGGAAAGTGCTCCAGTGGAAACATTTAAGTAAGCGACTATGAGACACCGCTTATTGTGTCAGCTTGGTGTCCTCTAAAGACCAACCCGTGTCTACTTTCCTGCTCACATTTAGGAAAGGTGGCTAAGGTGACTGGAGCAGTGGTCTCGGGGTAAGTTACAGTAATTATAATTTACATACTTTGACCTTTGAACTTGTGTGAAAAGAGCTCTCACTGTGGGCCACGGCTTATTCGTTGCCTCTCTACAGGGGCTGTCTTTTTATCACCTACGAAGTGGTGGCCTTGAACAAGGCTGTGACCATTGACACTAGTGCAATTCTTCAGGAGAAGTACAAGTCTTACATCTATCTGAAGGCCACTCCCTCCGATGAAAAGGAAAACTTCGCTGCAGGTACTGCGTGTCATCCACCTACACTTTAACAACTACACTGGGATATGATCTTGTATTCCTTACAAAACTGTAAAGAATAAGACCATTGAGATTTCCTTTTAGTTTAGATGTTTTCTTTTGGACCAGCTAGATAACTTTAGGAATATGCTGAATAGCTGCATTTATTTTTATGTGAGCACAAAATTGTACAGCGTGTGCCGTGTGCAGGTGCCCAGTGACGTCTGTTTTCATGGCTTCCAGTCTTTCCTTCCCCTCTCTATTATCTCCCCTGCCAGAATGTTTGGGTCAGCCCGTTGACCGATCACTTCCACTCTTCAAGGTTCTCTTATTAAATGGAAACGATTACGTATCGACCTGAACTAAGATACAAATGAGCAAAAATGACTAAATGGCTTTAGTAGTTGGGTACGGCTTTTATAGAAATAAAGTTCTAATTGCCTAGATCATTATTTTTTTCACCTTGTGTCTAGGGCTTACACACAAAGCAAGGAGGGAACTTCATAAAGCAGCAAGGCGGTTCGTGGAAGTATCATCTAGGGTTCTGCTGCAATCACTAGACGGTAAGAGACCAACCGTTGCCATTACATATACAATTTCACTGTTTGAGGCCATACTACTGCCCCTCATGTTTCCAGAATTGGAAAGGAGAAGTTGCTGCTATTAGAAGAACAGATATGTAGTTTCATAAAGCTACGACTCATTTCTATGTGGGGTGTGCAGATTAAGGCTAAAGGAAACGCCTGCTTTGAACATGCACATCCTGTTTTTGTTCCATAGTCTGTGCAATAAAGTGCATATGGGAGCTATTATTTAGTTATTTATTCCTAAATACTGTTGTTTGGTTTCTTGGGTTGATTATAATATTAAGATAGCCTTTTCTGTTTTCGTAGTCAATTTAGTTTCATCATTTTTTGTCACTAAGTAACCCTAACCCTAACCCTGTGTAGTTTTGGTTAATTGGACCACTAATTAACTGGGCACCTGTAGGTTATTTAAGGGCATAGCCAGGAGCCAGAGGAAAGCACAGCATAGGAAAGGCAGCCATGTTATATTGTATGTGTTTGTTGCCTTCTGTGGAATAAATGAGAAACAAAAGGAAAAGATTGCCTGGACAATCCGCTCTCTTGCTGCAAGAAAGAAACAAACCAGTAGGTGCAGCCACGACAAATGGCCACTACAGTGCATATTGTACGATTAGTTGCAATATACATAGTTCATTGTCTTGCCTTTTTATATTGCCTCTGGATTGATCAGTCTTGACTTTTGTTAATGTGAATTCGGATTCTTTTGAATTATAGAAACGTGACATCTTTTTCATGAAATTCTATTCCTATCTGATATCTAATAAATCAACTTTTACTTCTTGAAAATGAAAAGCTGCAACGTTGATGACACAGGTTGTGAAACCACAGGTTGTGAAACCACAGGTTGTGAAACCACAAGGTGTGTAACCTTTTAGCCGTGAAATCTTAATGTGGTGGTGTAGATAACCGTAGTCAGGGTAGATATGGTGTGAATGCAATTGCCACAGTACCTTTTAGCAATGTACTAGTACCCCGTATTCACTTCATTCTGCGAACGTTCAGCTGGTCAAAGCGCTTTCTACTCTATATCTTAGAGCACTTCAGCCACGTTGATGCAGACCCACACGAGGTGGCCTTATGGGTCTTACTGAAGAGGACGATGTCGGCCGATAAAGCCATCAGACTACAAGCCGTTCAGGAGCTGGCAGAACATCACCACTGGCAAGGTAAAATATACAAAATTGTTGATTATCAATTCAGCTTCACAGTAAACCTGAGTGATCAGTTCACGCCTGTTGTTAACAACGCAGACTACCAGTACCAGACAGCCGCCCAGGCAATAGACCAGCGAACAGCAGTGGGCCTGGCCCGGATTCCTCAAGTGGATCTTCGATTCTTCCTGCGCTCACCTGCACTGCCCGCCCTAGGGGATGTAAGTATCTCCGTAGATTGGTCTATTATGTAAGACCCCCTAACTATTCAACACTATCAATCGATTGCATATGTACATAAGATGTGTCCACTTCACAGTGTTTGTCAGCAGAGGACGGACTTAGGCAGTTGCTGGCGTCTCTGCCTCAGTCTGAGGTGGACAAGTGTGTTCAGTACTTCACCTCGCTGGCCCTCCGAGAGAGCACCCAGTCCCTGGCAGCTCAACGGGTAATCGAGACGGAATGCATCACGAATGCACTTCTGAACACATGTCTTTTGAAGACTGACTAACTTGCACATAAACCGGCAGCTTTTGTTCAAAAGGGCTGAAATCCGAATCTTTAAATCCTCATACTAATAGAGATGCTCTCCCATATTCAAGGGTGGTCTGTGGTGTTTCGGGGGTAATGGGCTGCCTTACGCCCAGAGCCTCACCTCTGTTCCCTCTGAGAAGGTGGAATCCTTCTGTTTACAGGCACTCGTACAGCACTCCAAGGTAATTATAGCCATTGTGCATCCTAACGAGATCTAGTCTTGGGGGAAGTTCTTGAATTCCCTTGATTGCATTGATCCTATTTGTTGGTTAAACACAACACTGAAGTTAAAAGCTAATCCTCTTCATCTTCCCATATTTAAAAGTAAAACGCTAATTCATAACACTGGACTGAATTTGATAACTACAACCTACTCAGGTAATTTGGCTCATACCTGGAAACAGATCTCAATGGACTAACTCCTGTTGAAGGTGGTTGATATTGATGGCTAAGCGACTGCAGAGGCCCGAACATATTTCCAATGTATGACTTAAAGCCACTTGGGACGGACATATTCGTACAGTGTTATGCCATAAACAAATTATCTGTCTGGTGCGTTGTGTGTCTTTCAATTCGTGACTGTAGCATAAAATTACCAATCTCATGCCCTTGCATTACATTATATCTTGGTTACATGCACCACACAGGATAAGACACCCCCTCGTTGACACAACAACTTGGTCAAAAACTCTTTTTTTCCATCCACACCTGTTCTCCTTAGCAGTCACTTACCTATATGCCTTTTAATGGTAATGTGCCACCCTGTTTTCAAATGTAGGAATTACGTGTCCCAATTCACCCAGTGTTTCCGTCAAAGAAAAACAAACCAACAAAACTACGTTATGGCTCCACCAGTGACTAAATGTTCTGAGTGTACTGAAACACTTCCGGTTTGCAGGTCCAGAGCCACTGTGACCACATAGTTGCCAACGGTGGGCTGCAGCTCCTCCAGAGGGTTTATCAGCTCCGCAGAGACTCTCTGAAGATTCAGAGGAACATTGTTCGTATCATAGGAAACTTGGCGCTCAATGAGGGTGTTCACCAGGCCATATCCCAGTCTGGTAAATGTGCAACTCGTCTCGTTGTTCCATAGAGATGTTGAGTTACGTGTCATCTTGACTCGGTGTACCGAGTATGATGTGTTTAGCAAATGTGCCCCCTTCATAGTAAAGATTTCCCCATTCTCCTGAATAACATTTGAATACATCCAATATTATCCTTTCTTCCTACCCAAACCTCCCCTCCAGGCTGGATCTCGGCCCTCGCTGAGATGACGCAGTCTCCTCATGTCATGCAGGCATCTCATGCCGCCCGCGCTCTGGCCAACCTGGATAGAGAGACAGTAAAAGAGAAGTACCAAGATGGCGTTTATATCCTCCACCCACAAACACGTAGCAAGTATGAAAACGATTCATTCATTGGTATTACTTTAATGTGGTCTTGTATGTAAAGCAACACTTGACCATGTGTTTGTTTCTAGCCAGCCGATTAAAGCAGACGTACTCTTCATCCATGGGATTCTTGGGGCAGCTTTTAAGACTTGGAGGCAGAAGGACCGCGACGTGTCCGAGGAGGAGAAGGAAGCAGAAAGCAGGGAGGACTACACAGAATGTTGGCCAAAGGTGAAAAATCAACATCCATTTTTTCATTCAAATGAAAAAGTTTCAGAGTTATCTCTCACTCTTCTCCTGTGTTATGTCCTATCTTATTGACAGTCCTGGTTGGCTGCCGACTGTCCAAATCTGAGAGTACTATCAGTGGAGTATGACAGTCACCTCAGTGACTGGATGGCCAAGTGTCCTGCAGAGAATCAGAGGTGAGGAATCTGCAGTTTCTTAATGTGCCCACTGGGGTTTAAGTATAGAATAGTGTACCATTTTGCATGCAACTTGCATTACTTGCCAATAGTAATGCATGTGGACAAAAACTCATCCAACATTATGACTATTTAAAGCTAATTAAGCTAAAGTTCTTCATGAGATAAATGTTTAATTCTACTTGTTGTGGCCAACGGACTCTTGATAAGTCAACTATTGAATCCATCTTTGGTCTTCTCAGGAAGTCCTTGGCCTACAGAAGTCGAGAGCTACTAAAGAAGTTAAAACTTGCAGGAGTTGGAGAGAGGCCGGTGGTCTGGGTAGCTCACAGTATGGGAGGTATTCTGTCAACTTTCCTTCCGCCAGTACTTCAGATTTTTACTCGCATCTCTTGAATGCAATATGAAAAACAAATGGCTTTGTCACACCTGGACCTACATGGGATATGTGTATCCACTTTAAAAGTTGTGCACACGGTCTGTTTGTATCCTCTTCATCTTTCTATCAGGATTGCTTGTGAAGAAAATGCTGCTGGATGCCTCAGAAGACCCAGAAATGCATGGCCTGTTAAATAACACAAAGGGCATTATGTTCTATAGTGTCCCTCATCGTGGCACCTTTATGGCAGAGTACTCGGTCAGTGTCCGATATCTTCTCTTTCCCTCCGTAGAAGTCAGAGAACTTTGTAAAGGTAAGTGTTTAAAATGAATTACGAGGTCCATCACTTTTTCATAGACACAAACGGTGATGATGTGATATTGTGCAATATTAATTGTGGGTTGTTGCCCATGTCCATTTAAGACTCACCGGCACTGCGTGACCTCAATGAGAACTTCCTGAACATGGCCAAAGAAAAGGAATTCAAGGTGCTGAGCTTTGCAGAGACGCTGCCAACAAACATTGGTCCCATGATCAAGATACTGGTTGTACCAACGCAGTCAGCAAGTACGTTACAATAATGCACATGTGAAAATTAGACAGTCATTTGTGATGTATAGCTTGAATTTGAATGCAATGTGCAAACCAGCAGATCTTGAAAGCAACAAGTCTTGTTCTTTTAGCTCTTACTTTGCTCCTGCTCTGGTTTTAGATCTCGGCATTGGGGAGCTCATTGAGGTGGACGTAGATCATCTCAACATCTGCAAGCCAGAGAAGAAGGACTCGTTTCTTTACAAGCGCAGCCTTCAGTTCATCCTGGAAGCATTGCAGAGCTACATCAGTCACTGATGGAAATATATCAACGTAACAAACTGATAAAAAACCTACTAATAACTTGAAATGGGGGGGACCACTGTCACCCATCTCCAGATCCTTAATGCGCACTTGCATAAAAAAAACAAATGTGACATTTTATTTGGAAAATGTAATATGTATTTTTTACAAATAGATTACGGTGTCAATAGTCATCCTACTAGATTGGTCCCTCATTAGTGAGTCCAGAATTTTAAAGAACACTCACATTTTTGAAAGTTTTTATTTTGTATTGTATGTATTTTATTCTAACTACAGTATTTCAGTCATAGTGTGCCAGACTTATTCCTTCCTGAAGTTTACCTCAAATGGACCTGCATTAATATAATTTGGGGTTGCTTTATTTTTTGTACAGGACTAACAAAGCAATGGATTGTAAATCACAATGTCTTTGTTGTCCTGATTGCCCCTGGCAATGCTTACAATGAATAAAGCTATGAAGGTGGAGACGGATCTGTCAATGTTTTCCATCTTTTTAATCACCACTTTGCAATGGCTTATGTGCAAATCATTAAACGGGACCACTTTATGGTTACTGGACTTTTATATAATTTACCCACAACAATAACATGTTTTCATATTTCTTAAATGAATAGTAATAATTAACTACGATATTTAAATGTCACATGCCCAATTTGGGGATCTCAGAAGATTGTCCCTCGGGTCGCACCGTACGTCCTCGCACCGCTCTGTAACAACAGCTATCAGGTTGGTGAAAGTCTCTCGTCCACCTCGACTTCTTCTCCTGAGTCTAGCAGTGTGTGTGATCGCTGTCGGTGGCGTGTTAGTTAGATTTTAAATCCCAGTACCTCGCAGAGCAGCCGCAGGGACGAGTTAAGTCACGGTTGAACAAAGATATCGTAAGCGGTAGCTAGATAACGTCAGCGCTAACTAGCTAGCTAACGTTAACCTGTCTGTACCCAAAAGCCACCGCTAACTAAGCCGTTTAGTTCTTGAAATACTAACCTTACTAAATGCTGGATTGCTTTTCCGAGGCAACAGTTTAAGCGTGCTGTCTCGTTTTAAACTAATATCAAGACCTAAAAGTGTCAACTTTTATCTTAACTGGGTTTTAGTGTCCGGAATTATCATGTTGCCTCCGCTAGCATGTCTTCGTTAGCATGTCTCTGTTGGTAACTTAACTTCAGTAACAGCAGTTTAGTGTGTGGCAGGTCTGAGGATGTTCTTTTTCTTTTTAGCGTCGACTGCTGAACCTCTACCTGTCAACATGGTCAACGTACACAAAGGTGTCCTTGTTGAATGGTAAGAAAATGCATCTGCCAAAAAATATTTCTAACCATATGGACATAAAGTAATTCTATCAATATTCCTCTATTTACACACAAAAATAAAGCTCAACTGATGTACGTTATTCCTCACATTTGTGTAGAATGTAATGAATTAATGAAGCTGTTCTCTTTGCTGCTCACTGGACCAGTGATCCTGCCATGAAACAGTTCCTCCTCCACCTGGATGAAAAAATGGCCCTGGGCAAGAAGTTCATCCTCAAGGACCTTGATGATACTCACGTCTTCATCCTCGCAGAGGTGGTCCAGACTCTGCAGGAGAGAGTGGGCGAGTTAATGGACCAGAATTCATTCACCATCACGCAGAAATGACAAACGTCTTCCTTCTGGAACCGGGGACCGTTTAAGAGTTTGTTGTTAAATGGCCAATGTTTGCATTGTTTTAACTGTAGACCAAAATGGCACTGTTTTTTGTTACAATAAATGTGAAAAGTGTGACCTAAATCTGTGCTATCAATTGTGTATATTTAGAAATGTGTGTACATTGATTCTTCGTTTGGATCGGCAAAAGCTAAGTGCAACAATTATTTGTCAGTGGATTTCATGTTTTTCCCTCCATTTAAACAGTCATTTTGTTGAAGGAAAGAAATCACTCAATGTTTGGCTGTGAGAAATGTCATTACGTTGGAGTGGAGGGCTATAAGCAGAACCAACCAAGTTAGTCCTCCTTTTAAGGGCCGTAGACATAATTATCTGAATGTAATTTCATACTTTGCTGGGGGGAAAAAAAAGTTGAAAAGTTAAATAACCTTCTGTTAAAGGGCAAAACAAGCCCTTATTCCAGAAATCTATTTAATATACACCGCTCTAATGTAAGGGTCGTTGTGGCGCAACAAGGTTGGTGGTTCGAGTCCAGGCTGCCCCATGTTCCATGTTGAAGTGTCCCTGAGCAAGACATCTAACCCCTAATTGCTCCCCGGGCAAAATTGTGAAAAAGCCATGGGTTTAAAGTGTAATGTAAGTCGCTTTGGATAAAAGCGTCTGCTAAATGACCTATAATGTAATGTAAGGGAACACAATAACCAAACCTTAACAAAGAAACGACGTAACATTAGCGTAGAGTAAATAAGGGAAACCGTAGTTCTACTATATATATATATCTATATACACACCTAAACGTATGACACTACATCATACCACACATGTATTAAATAAAGCAACAGTGGGTGGGAGCCTCACATTAAGTCCTAATATTATTGGTTATTATTTCTTTTCACACTTCATCAGGGGAGAGCGCGAACGCAGTCCCCCACTACCACAAATTATGCAGTCGAGATTCCCACATTTGGGGAATTCGCAAAGGTCAGCTCAGTCGGAGTGCAATGACTGAGCCTCGCCTTGGGTGAACCACCTTATTGATCATGGTATCTCCCCTGCCAGGTAAGTATGAGTTGTTCATGTTGGTGACAGGGAAGTGATTCAGAGACATTCCAATCAGAATGATGGTGCTAACTATTTTAAATTACCAAGACTACAAAGCAGGTGATGCTCTATAAGATTGCATAACTATACACACACACACACACACACACACACACACACACTTTAGTCTAAAAAGTCTTACATGATTATTAAAATATAACAAGAGGAACTGGTCAATATCCCATCATGCATTGCTGTATGTTAATATCAAAAGTCAACCTACAATCATATATTTTAACTATTTGACTCAAACAAATATGTAACAGCTCAACAGTAAGTTCAAATATGATGGCAACAAACCATAATACAATTGCAGGCGGTTTGATTCGCCTCTCAAATTCAGAGGAAAATATAAAAGCACACATTTGCCTTTTCCGATTTCACGCTCTTCCTGTTAGTGGGCAATGATCATCCCCGCTACTGCCGCCTATCGGTCTGGAGTGTGAACAACGGTGCAGCACGAAGAGTTAATGCTTAATGCTGTTTACAAACGTTATAATAGTTAATGCTGTTTACAAACACTTGATGCGTCACTGCCCAACAATGTCTCTAACGCTAAGTTAATAACTTTAGTGGAGTTAAAACTGTAAACTGTTTTTTTTCCAAAAATCCAACTTAGCCATTTTTAAAAACAATCGACTTGTGGACACCCTGAGATAGGCTTAACGTGCATCAAGCTTGCACCAGAACCATTTCACTTTCCGGTATTGGTTTTCAGAATAAAATGTATACTGGGCGCAATAACGGTCTACATTTTGAAGTTTAACGTTAGTCGCTATAAAGTACAACTGGTTAAAAGTATGGCCGATTTATAAATTGATATTAAGCTAGAGTAATGTGATGGTAAAACAACTAAATTACAATTGATGGGGACCTTTAGTGCGAACTTCAAGGAGGACGCGAACTTAACGGTTTTCCCGGAGAACCTTGACATCTGACTAGCTAGCTCGTTAGCCTTAGCTAGCGTAGCTAATTGATTCAATTAAGTTCGGTAAATTAACGATAGTAGTAATAGCAATGGCGCACTGCAGTGAGCGAGAACATTAAAACGGTCACTGTTAGCTAGAAGGAAATAGGTTAAGGTTAATGTAAGGAAATGGGTAACAACGTCTTACCTTAACAGTTAATGTTAGTTAGCTAACGCTATGTTACCTGTGCATTACTGTTCACAATGGGCGCTTGGTTCCCGATGTATTGCTTTAACGCATACATTAGGTAAAATTAGGAAAAGTAACACCAATTAAGTTTAGTTGGTTGTTGACTGTTATTTTAGCAGGACAGCTCAAATTAAATGTCTAACCGCCTTCCCCGCATTCCGTCCCTGTGCCACTTAGTATGACGTATGAGCCGGCCTAGCTAGGCTAGCAGTTACATTAGCAACACCACATGAACTAGAAACTCGACGAGAAAACACCGTATCGTTATCCTGTGCATTAACAATACATATTACAGCTAGAGTTCATTTCAATTTACCGTGAGGAATAGTTCCATAATACGCTGTCCAAAAAGTTGGTTTGTAAAAGCATTCATTTTCACCTACCTGATATCATCCTCTAATTCAGACCAGCGATTGAAAAGAGGGCGTCAGCTTGATGTTGTGTAACGTTAAATGAGACGTTTTCAGCAAGGGACGGCATTTCCCCCTTTTTTCAAGTTGAGTGTTTGTAAGGTTTGTTTTATCAGTACAATGACAATTTAGTATTAGATCAAATGTCATCCAATGTTAGTTCTGAAACCAGTGCAGTGCAATCATTGGGTTAATAGCAATAGTTATTGAACTATTACTAAATAACGTTAGGTTAACATGCGGGACTGCCACAATTAATACTCCTAACGTGAATAGTCTTACATATTAATAGTCTCAATATGTTAGCACTTTATGTTAGCACAGTTGGTGACTATATTAATATATTAACGTTTCTTATTGTTTGAGGTAGAGAAATATTTGAAATTAGCTAATGTACATTGAGTAAATCAATGACATCTTGACTAAGCCGATTCTATGACCATTGGTGATTTTATTAATTCCGTAAAATGTAGCGAACAAAGGCTTTTCACAACAGTTACATCTTATTAATTCTTTTTTCAGTTGTTAAAAAACGTGTTCAGTCGGTTCTTTTATTCTGAAGACATATGACCGGAAGTATCGTTGGCAACTTGGTTCCTTTTTATGTGAGTTAGCTAACTTAACTTAACGTCTAATTTACAGTCTCTGCTCGATTCACACATCAGATGTTCTAGTAATGGACGACTATCAGACAGAAGAGGTGGGTTTCATCCTTGAAACAAATTATTGGTTATCTTTTCTCAGATATTAACAGTTACACACCAAACTGCCCCGTTAATGCTAATCGTTCACCGACAAATTCATGTTAAAAGATCAGGCATTACGGCTGGTTAGCATTAACTAAAATGTTTTGTATATTATCAAACAGACTACGTTCGTCGTTGAAGATGTGAGTAAGATCATTAAAGAGGTAAGTAAAAAAATACATGGTTCCTATACGTTTATATTTTCATTGCTACGGCTAGCTTGCCACTTTTATGTTTACCGACCTGTTGGTTGCTAAGGGCACAGTATCCGTTGCTAGGCACCATCCGCAATGTAGTACTCGAATTCATACCAGATAACAGAATAGTCACAACGCTTCCCACCACATGTTTTGTACGTTGTCGTGCTGTGTGTATTGTAAGATGCGGGTCAAACCGGCAACACGCGTACATGACTCTGTTTAAATTGTCTCGGCAGGCATTGGAAGCGGTCATAGGAGAACACGACTACCAGCACAACAGGGTGAACCAGTGGACCAACCTTGTATTGGAGCAGTGCCTCAGTCAACTCACCAAACTCTGGAAGCCGTTCAAATATATTGGTACATGCGCTGCTGCGTGTCAACAGTACTACTATTGTGCTTCTTGGGCTTTATTGTGTGTATTAAAAGACAGTGTCCTGTCCCCCCCCCCCCCCAGTAACCTGTATCATCCTTCAAAAAAATGGAGCAGGTCTGCAAACAGCTAGCTCATGCTTCTGGGACAACACCTCCGACGGTATGTTGTAATGATCATGTGATGTCATGTTTTCTCTTGTCAGCAACCATCAATGTGCTCTTGATCTTTTGGGTGGTCAGCTTTCACACATTTTAAATGTGTAAATGATAGTAAATGCATTGTGTGTTCTGCCCCAACAGGAAGCTGCGTAGAGAGATGGGAGAACAAGTCCATGTATTGTATCGTTACCGTTTTTGGAGTTGCCATCTGAACCAACTAAAATGCAATTGAAGTAGTTGTGTACTTCTTCAAAACCACCAGGTTCTATTTGGTCATGTTGACTAAAACTGTTATGTTTTTGTATTATGAGCTGATTAAAACAATCCTGTGCTGAACACACTTTGCTTTATTTACACGTGACGCGACTGCTACATTAACAGCTTTTATTTCATGAAACAAAACTAAATTGAATGTGCAACATACTAGAGACTCCTAAACCTAATTTAACCACCGAAAACTACAATAACATCCAAAGAATAAAAAATGTACATTTATCTCAAAGCATTTATACATTTACAAGAACCAAACAAAGACAAGAGCACCTTCTTGATTATAATACATGTTCTGGCGTTTTTTTGTCCATAACCAGTTTTATAAAATAATGGAAAGGGCAGCAAATGTTACATTGCAAACAATATAGGGAAAGTTACGGCATAAACGGTAATTGCTTAAATAATATTTTCAGAAGGCAAAATCATTTTGGCCAATGGTGTGGGGATAAGGAATATTTAACATAAGTCAGTAGTTATCTACATTCAGTTGTGTAAAATCCCAGCAATTATCAAAAGCCATTCTTCCAGGTAGTCAGATAATACAGTATCAAGTAATTACTATTTAGCAAAATAAATTATATTTCTAAACACGTGCAATTACAGAGTTGCTTTCCGAGGGAAGAAGTAGTTAGAAAGAGAGAAGCCCTAGTCCTGTATTTGACAAAACAAACACATGTCTGATTAAAAGAGAATTTGTCAATAGCCAACATTACGATGGCTTTTTAATTAACGTTCTCTCATGCCGTTGCTGCAGGCCTCAAAATGTGCACTGCTGCAGCAAAACAAGCTTTCTGTACTTCCTATAATCAGTATCATGTAACTCCACTTTGGCCCAAAAAAATTCTCAAAGAACAGAATGTAATGGAAAAAAACAACACAGTGCAGTAGAGTGACAACAATGGTTCAAAGCAAAACAATACAGGCAACATTGATTTTGCACAAAAGAAATCTTGAATTCATTATAGCACTGTACATTTAGTACAGATTAGGTTTTGAAGTATTGTTGTGGGGAAATGAGTTTGCAAATGTGTAAAACGTGTAAAATGTGTAAAACTCATTGAAAACAAAGGAAACATGCGTACAATTAGATGGAAGGCATACAAAAAAAAGAAGGAAAAAGGTTGAGTGGCCACTTGCTCCAATTGAGTAAAATACAGTACATTCAGTAGACATGGAACTTTTTTAAAATATAATTATGTACACGTAAATAATATAATTTCATATTACCTATTTATTTACACATACACATGTTGTTAAATTCTATTCTCATAGATTCCAAAATGGACACAACAAAAGGAACAAAAAGCCAACCAGAGACCCCATCAGTCAGTGTCACTCTCATCCTGGTACTTGGCGGTAGCTTTGATGGCGCGTCCATTTTGTAAAGGCATGTCTTCATAATCACTCCTTTACAAAGATAAAGAAAAGCATCAGCTGGTTCATGCAAGTTCACACTGAACACTACTGTGCAAACTGTAAGAATTTGGGAGAACAAAGGATGGCTCACCCATATATTACTTCATCATCGGAGTCATTTAGCATGGAGAACGCAGGGTTATCCTTCAACTGGGAGTCTGGCAAACACAAAGAAACAGTTGGATTAATATATGAATTTGCCTTCATTATCTACTGAATTTTAAATTGTAGTATGCCACCTACCGTAAAGTGCATTTTTGGAGGGGGAGTACACAAATGCCAACGTGTACAAGTAAAAGTTGAGTAGACCGTAGAATGATAAAAATTCAGCTGGTATGTCTGGAGTTAAGGAACGTTTTCTCACTTACTTAAAGCCAGCGACATGGCATCTTACATGTTATATTCCAGTAAAACAACTGTCAAAAAGGAATTGTCGTTTTAAAAGATATAGTTTTGGTAATGAGTGGACAGTTCAGCGACAAAATTGTCTTGGAGAGCCTTGGCACCAAACCTCAAGTAGAGAATGGCCATGCTGGAGGAGGAGGAGCAACAAGGTCAACAGGACGGAATCAACCACAAACTTTAAACAACTCTTTCTCTCTCACACACGCACAGCAGGTTCCTTTAGCTTTGGAATTTTCCTTAAAACCAACCTGATAAGAAGGACCACAAACGTCAGAGCTGTCAGAAACCTGAGCCGCAGATCTAAGGATTCAAAACACACGGCACGTTAATGTTGTCATTTTAACAGCAGGAGACTTGAGAGGCGGCGTGTGCTGCGATACCTGAGTACGGCATGTTTTTGAGTTCCGAACAAGCTCTGACGACCAAGAAAATCAGATAGAGGATGTAGAGGGCAACTACAATCAGGAAAAAGATCTTCATGCCCTGGTGAAACAACAGTGGACGTCATTAAACTGCTGGGCAAATGGAAATAATAATAATACTGTCCAAACATACAACGGCTTTGGACATTAAAACAGCCTCACCTGGAAGTTCGCTATGTCCACCTTGTACTGATAGGTAGGGTCTTGGAGTTCATTAACCCTGAAAATTCAACAGAGGAGAGCCGATCTTTTCAGGCCTGTTTTTATTCATAGTTAGCGGCGGGCTTTTTCACAGCCAGCGGAGTGCGACTTACGTCTGCCATATGCCCAACGTAACCGCCGACAGCCACAGGAGACCTACGATGATCAGCTTCGGCAGGTAGAACGTCAGACATTTCCTTTCCCCCTGTTTAAAACGAGGTAAAAACACACGCAAAAATCAGATTCATAATGCGCTTGAGTGAGAACAAAGCTTCGGGTGTAGCAGTTTACCCACCTGAACCCTGATGCCGTGATACACACAGAGCCAGAAGAGCAGCAGCGCACACAGGAACAGAGCCTGGAAGAAAGTGTCCAACGTCCCTGGAAACCAGCTGTTCACCAGGAACGACAGCGGGAAAAATGGATCTGAGTGGCAAAAGTAACAAAACACACTAAGCAACACACCCGACATTGCAGTTGGACGTCTTTTACGACGGACAGGACAAATGCAATAAATCACACGTTTGGCCCGTGAGCATCCTGGAGCGGTTATAATGTCAGAATGTACAGGTTGCGTATTAAGGGTTAAATATGTCTTGAAGAGGGAGAGTACAGAAACTCACCATTGTAGAGTAACAGCATTGGGAGCAGGATGGACATCCACTTCTGTTCTATGCCCCAGTCCCTCATGGAAAACTTACGTAGAGAGTGTGCAAACAAACACTGGGAAAGGCAGAGAAGAAAGTTTTTCTTTTATCCACCGTCTGGTTTTGGTACAATTGGGATATTGGTTAAGTGACATTAATTTAGATTAAGAACGAGAAAAGTCATCTGTGCTCTTACCGTCACCATAAAGGTCAGCACCACAAAGACGAAACGGAACCAGATCTCCACTTGAGAGAAGGTGGGGTTGTATGTTTTCCACTAAGGGGGCAAAAAAAAAAAAAAAAACACATCTCAATTGCAACAAAGAGACAATATCAGAGCTCGTCTCATGAGCTGGGAGCAGCAGCCGCGTTTGCCAATTTTGAAGAGGATTCATTATGCAGACTTAACAACAAATATTCTTCACCAAAAAAGTGTAGTAGTGTGCAGTCACATACCACAAACTTGACTTTGATTTCATATGTGATATTTTCGAGGCCGTTGAAGCTGACCATGACCTGATACTGGGTGTAGTTTAGATAGCCAAGATGCAGGACGATGATCTCATCACATTTCTGTAAGGAGGGACAGGACACACTGAGTCACTGTTTGCTCAGTCAACAATCCAACTTTACTTTAAAAAAAAACCTAAACGGATCTGAGGATCCTACTGTGTTACATGATGATCGAAATGAAATCCTGCACTCATGGTTTATTAAAGCCAGAACAGACATTGTTATCACACTGCTGTGCTGGTTGCTGCCGCCCGACTAAACGGTTAACGACAATCCAGCATGCTGTGAGACAGGAAGAGGGCTGCGTTTGCTGATCGACACTTACAGTCCCGCAGTGAAGCGTTCTGGATTTCTGGTGCGCATTGTTGATGTGCATCACGCTGGCGTCCTGCATCACTCCTTTTAGCTCAACGTTGATCTCAAAAGGCTGCTGGAAGTCTCCCACTGACACAGACGGCATTAAGACATGTCGTCACTCACCAGAACAAAGTACGTTTGCAAAATTATTCAGAGGCAGAGCTATTCCTCTCTTTGAGACAGTTGTTATCTGGAGATCATTCGGTGGTCTTACCATTGCCGTGTTGAGCCTGCATCACGCAGGTCAGCCATAGCTGCTGGTTGTAGGTGGTGAGGGGAGGCGAAACTAGATTGAAAGGCCCAGTCTGAAAACATACAAAGAATTAGATACATCGATTAGAAAAATGAATCTGGTACTAAGGGATACTTCTCAATGGAAGACACACGCACACAGACACAATATGTTCTTACTGTAAGAAGAAGTATTCTTCAAACAAATAGTCTTGAAAGGGCAAAAAACATTTCAATGATAAAATGACTTCTGCTTTACAGGTTTTATAGTCGAAAAATGTGAGATGAGTTGAAGCAACACGTAGACTAGTAGCACAGACACACACACACACACACACACACACACACAGGTATTCAAACAATGTAACATGTAAGGCTGGTAAAAACAAAAGGCAAAGCAGGAGTTGCCAGACCGCAGAGCGTTACAGTTAAAGACGTCTCTAGTCCGCTCACAGGAAGGGTACAATTGCACCTCACAGTAGCTCAAGTAAAGGGAACAATTTGTTCAAACCAAATTTAGTAAAAAGAAAAGCATGCACATGGGCAACCAACAACCAATTTGTCACCATGAATCTGATTGCATTTTTGTAAAAGTGGTGTAATGGCAACTATTACATGTTACCCTTACATTCACATCAAATACAACTATCAAACAGTCATGCATCCTATTAGGGCGACAGAAACCACGTGGCCTTACCTTAACTGAGAGGTTTTTGAGAAGTAACTGATCACCGCTGTGCTCTTGCTCAGAGATAACCTTGGGACCTGCACAAATTAAGCAGACATAATGAATGCATGCTTCACAGACGGAACTACGGGACTACCCAGAAGGGATCAGAGAAGTGTTTCAAAACAGTTGTTGGACTTTTAGTTTTGGGTTATCACAGATAACAGGAGGTGACGAGTCAAGCAGAATTGCTCACTAACTTTCTCCGTGACGTTATCTGTAAACCCAGTCTGTTTGAATGACCTCCGACCCACAGCCAGCTTGGGCCAGTGCTGCAGAAATGTGTATCGGCCATACCTGCAATCCCAATGAAGACTGTAAAGCCAAAGCAGATCAGGAAAAACACGAAGACCAGGACAAAATGTCTTTTGGACAGGGTGTAGAGCCGCATGGGGGCCAGTCTGTAAAATGGAGACATTTAATGAATTAGAGATGGAACACACATAAAAGGTAATTATCAGACCCAAAGATGGAGTAACGTTTTGTGTTGTTGTTATTGTGGCCAACGCTCTTAGCCTACTGTGGATCAGGTTTGTCAACAGCTAGCTTCCATGCTAGTTTGTGCTAGCAATAACAGATGGCAGGAAAGAGGCTCTAACACAGTCCGCGCGCACGTTTAAACATCGCGTGACACATCTCGCACGTTTCCGCCGAACACATCTTACACTTACAGCTCCATTTCTTTCGGTTCGCCGTGTCGGTGCCGAAGGGGAAAAGACAGGGAAAAAATTTTTTAGCTAGTGAATCCACATCCGCGTGTCAACATCAGCCTGCGACTATGCAACGTCATCGAATGGGAGGGGCTTGATCATGTGACCCCAGGAGAGGGCTTCCCCCTCCTTTATAAAATCTTGCAGCGTGTTTATTCTACGTAAAATAACCCACACCTATGGTCGTGTTTGAGTGTTAGACGGTAGGTTGATCTATAATCTGCGCATCGGTGATTGAGACTTTCGCAAAAAAAGGCCTACGGTTTAAAGTCTTGAATGCAACGGTCGTCTTTTTTACGTGGTTCATATACGTATTGCGTAACACGTCTACGTCATACGTCAAGGTTGAGTTTTAATTTCTAATGAGCTAAAACATCTGATACGGTATTTGTTTTTTTTCTTTAAACATTTAAACATCATATACATTTTAAAGTAAGGATGTGGTAATGTATGACCGTTTAATGCAGCTGTAGTCTGCAGGTGCTCCTCTGTATGACAACACGTGTTGTCTTCTCCTTAAAGGGATCAAAAGGCCCCTACCTCGTTTAAAAATGATATACAAATTGAGTACACGAAGAATGCGTAAAATGAAGAGTTCACATATGTATCCGCTGTCTGCTGCTGTGTTACTGTTGTATTCCAAGCTTCGTCTCCCCCTCAGTGAAGCATCATGGAAAACATGAAGCGGCAACATACAATTATAATTTTAAATAAATCTCAGCAAGCACCTGTTTATCTACCACCGCTCCACAATATGCCCGTACTTAAAAAATATTCTTCCAGGTGTGCGTTGCTAAAATCTCATTCACACAGCGTACAAAGCCAAATAAAGAAAGCCACAATATTAAAGCGCAGCGGGGAGTCGCGTCTGCCATTGTGTTTAAACAGGAGACCAACCTGTAAAAGCGATCATCCCGGTAAGGCGTCAGGTCCTCCTTAAATTCATTGTAGGCCTCCTGTATCTTCCTGCAGAAGTATTTCAGCTCGGCATACAGAGGGTTTTCTGAGTAGTCGGTGTCCATTATCACAGCGAGCCGTCTGAAAATGGCGATGGGGAAACAAACCCGCAACCTGCAGATAACAGCGCGACGATCGGTGTGTATTGTCACGTCCTTTAATAGAAAATGCAGCCGAAGCTGTTTTTTGTGTGTGTGTGCCAGTCCAAAGGGAAGACAAAACAAAAGCTGCAGGGGAAAAAAACTGAAAGGAGGGGGGGCGGAAACCCATAGATAGCACACGGGAGGAGGGTCACGTGGTCAGAGTTCAGCACCACGGACAGAGGATGACAGCAGGGATGCCGCAGACATCAGTGGGCGGCTCCAAAAGATGCACTATAACAAGGGTGGCAATCACTCCACCCATTAATGCCCTGCATTTACATATTAAGACCCTAATTCAGTTATCTTCGGGGTGTGGAGGATCCCTAATAGCAGCTGTTACATAAATTTCAAATTGTGTGTCTGTGTTTTTAATCTTTACAAGTAATATAAAATCAAATATCTACTACAAAGCATTCTCACAAGCATGACAAACATGCAATATGAACATTATGTGTAGGTGTGGTGTTATAAGATACTAAGTCATAATTTATTTAAGTGTCCGGGTGTTGTGCATAAGCATTCACATATATTGAGCTGGGCCATTATTAGATATAGATATTATATATACATTATTGCTTTTTTTCATGCAAGTTTTAATCCAGCTGTAGTTCAAAATATAAGGCATCTGTATGTTTAGACTTTGCCAGAATAGTGCCTCTACCTTTTAGTGTCCCTATCAAAGAGCACCATCACCACACTGTTTGATCTTCCAAGCAATGTAGACCTCTTTTTGTGAAGGCATAATATTTGCTTTTTTATACAATAGAACCACTTCGTGTAAACCTTACTTCAGTCCAATAGCTGGGTTTGAACAATGCATCTGTCAACCCAACAATAAACTGATCTGTTTGAGAAATAAGACATTTTTCAGAAAACAATGACATTTTATTCAAAAGATGCGTGACATATACAATTATAAAATAATTTACATGGCATGCCTTACTATCCATTCACTATAAACGTTCAGTCACCGAATCAGACTCTTTTCAAGTGTTTTTGTCATTTAAGTCTACATCTATAAATACAAAGCACATACCTTTTCTAAAGAAAAGCTGAATCCTACATTATCTACAAACAGGTCATCTCATGAAATCAGTTTGAAGTGAATCCTTAGTTTAAGTCCACAGGCAATTCTTAACATGAACTCGGTGGCTTAGACTTGTGAATTAACGTGAATGTTTATGTATGTGTGTGTATGTGTAAGAAGCCATGACCACACACACACTTAAATATAATAGATTTAACACTGATGGGATTGGTAGACTGCACAGTTGAATACAAACACACCTTAACTTGACAGTTACACTTTACATAACTAGTCTACAAACTACACTAAACTGGGCACTTACTCATTCACATCTTTTCCATCCAATGCAAACTTCACAGAACACAGAAAATTTGCCCCCATCCCAACCGAACCCCATGTTCTCGTCTCACCATTTAAGCTACACAAATTTTATCAACACAAAGAAATGCTCAGAAAACTCCACAATATACAGTATATATAGATACTATATCTCCTTCAGGAAATAATCTCATAAATAAAATGTACAGATCAGCAACTGAGAGGCTGAACTCAAAAATGGCATCAAACTGGTCAAAATTGATGAAGGATATTTTTTCCTCAAAGAAAATTATTGCACAAACACTAACACAAAAAGATTTTCTTCATGACATGCTCACTTTCTTTTTTTTTCTTCTTTTTTTTTTAAGTGTCATACGAGACTTTTTGAAATTCTTATTTTCAATCCACATCCCTATAACGCCCCTCTGACAGACATGCATCTTGTGATACAGAGATCACGCAAAAAAAGTTGCATTATCTCAATTCAAAGACCAAAGCAGAGCTGGTCCAAAGTGATAGCATTTCTTTAAATAAAGAATCGCATTACGTCTCCCTCTGGACCCATTTCTCCCCCCACTATACATTTGAGCATATGCATATTTTGGCACAAAGGTTAAAAGTGACCTAATGTAACTGCTCTATTTAGATGGGTTTCATTTTATACCAATCACATAATTGCAGTGTGACTAATTTACTCTTTCCCCACAGTCCTATCAGCTTGGTGTCTCTGTGCACAAATAAAGGCTCGGCTGCCTGAAAAAAAGAAAAAAAGAAAAAACAGCTTCTCAGATTTCAGTGTCCGCTTACTAAATAAACAGATTTCAAGCTTCATCCCTCATTGGAGTTCTGATTTCAAATATTCAGCGACAATGATCTCAGCTTCACTGTTGACCTGTTTTTGTGGTTGTAGGAGTTGACACAAACGGTTTTACAGCGTCACTCCACCCCTGAAATTACACCTCAATACACAGTGAGGACAGGTGTAAACAGACATCCGTCAAAGTCGCCCAAGTCTTTTTTACAACATGTACATGACTGATATTTATTTACATGACTTCTGAAAAGAGTATGAAATGGCATAAGGGAAATACAGAAAAATATTTCCTGTACCTTGCTTAAATGTTTAGTGTGGTCTCAACGAGCAGGGACAGCGATACCACCCCCCACAACTACACACTCACTTCACAGAAGTGACAGCAGGTGACAAATCCCTTCATGCCAGAGGAGAAGTTAATCAATCCGGGCATGGCGACTTCTTTTGCGCCTGTGTCACCGTATGTAGATATTTCACCAAGTGCAGGAGATATCAGTCGAAGCTATTAAGTACACCCCTTCCACCTAAATCACTCCAGACTATGCAATAATATTCAAATTCAGTCAGTTCTCCCAAATAAAGCAGGCGAGTTGAAAACCATGTTGATTGTGGTGTACAATCTTCACACCCTAACAATGACAATAATGTAAAAAAATCATTTCTGAATAGATAAGGAACAACATGTACATATAAATAAATCCATGGAGTAACACTTCTTCCTTCAAAGTCACAGGAAAATATATGGAAAAGACTGCAGTTCAACTTATCTCCATTTACTACTTGACCTCCCTCGTTTTTTAAAAATTGACTCACATATTACTACAGTGAAATGCGTGACCTTAGTAGTGCTCCTGAATCTAAGCCTGAATTCCAACCGAGATGGACAGACCGTAACAAAAGGAATGGCAGAGGAAAAAAAACAAAGACTGTGCTACCCTCCACGATGTTTAGTAATTATATTAAATCCTAAAAGCAATAGCAGTATAATAAAGTGGTAACTGTTTCACTATAGTTGGTACAGCAATGGATTTCAGTGCCCAGTAGTACCTGTGCGCTCTAGGGAAAACACGGCGGTGATCTCCAGAGTTTGGTTTTCAAGTATTACTGCGGCTTCTTTTGAAAGCTGCACCTTGACAATTCTTCCCTCAGTCAACCAATCGGTTATCATGTCTAAAAGCTTCTTCTAGCTAAAGCAGCATTTATTTTGCATGACGATTACCAAAACTCAGCTCTTTGGCCCTACATGCATTGCCAGGTGCCACGGACTGCCGAACGGAGCAATTCCGAGGGCTTCCCTAGCAAATGCAGCCAATGCTTATTGCAACAACTCTAGTGGCAGCATTGTGTAGTGCAGCGTGATTGTACCCCTCTGTATGACCAGGGCTGATTGGAGCCTTCCCATCAAAATCAAAGTGAATCCCAAAGGAAACAACTGTGTCCCTTCAACAGATTGCGTTAGAATCCCGGATATAACTCAGGGTGGACAGGGAGGCGACATCTCATTTGAGGCGTTGGGTGACGTTGGCTAAAGCCACTGCAAAAGCCTGCACAGCAGAGAAGGGATACTGAAAGTCCAGGATGTAGGCGTTGCCATCAATCCTGCCGAACTGCATCACCTGTGAAGAAAAAACGGACAAGCAAAAAAAAAAAAAAAAAAGTCAATACAGAATGTGGAAGCTACTTTCATCACCATATCCTTGTGCACGCAGCATCTCAGCTGAATATATGTAATGGTCATTTAATATACAGATAACATGCGGTGGAAGATATTCCTTGAACAAGAGCTCTCATACCTGTCTGCCCTCCAGCTCAATTTGAAAGTTCTTGGCAGACTCCTGCGTGACACGCCCCCCAAAGTCCAGCTGGTAGACCTGCGTGGCCTCGTTCCACAGCGGCTGCTTGTTGGCCATGACGTACACGAAACCCTGGCTGCCCAGCCCTCGGTCCTCCTTCTCGTTGGCCTTTCGACACTTGATCTCGTCAAGCTCACTGGCGGCCCTCAAGTTCCTCTTACTCTTCCAGCCCTTCTTACCGCTCTGGCACTGATTGAGCAGCTCATCCCCACTGATGAACAGCTCCGGCTCGCTTTCTGAACTGTCCTGGAACTCGCTATTGGCAGTGGCTTTATTCAGCTTTTTGGTCTTCAACTGCTGCTCTTTCTGTCCCTTGACCTTCTTCTTGTCCCTTCCTCCCAGCCGCGGACTAGAGATGAGCGAGTTGAAATCCCCTAAAGCTCGGCCCTCCTTCTTCAACTTGCTCCCTTCGGCCAAAGGTGGCACGCTAGCCTCCTCTGCACGCCCATCGACCCGCTTGCGGTTCTTCTTGCCAAACTTGTCGGACCGCTGTGGGACAGGGCTCTCAGTCAAGGAAAGCACCTCCTGAAAAGCTTCCCCGGCCTCTGCCGTGGCCTCTTGTAATCCCTCGTGGCTCTGCGGCTCTGCTGGCGGTGGGGGTGGGGGAGGAGGCGTCGGCGGCGAAATTACTTTGTCTACTGCCATGTGGGAGGCTTTGGGCGGTAGTGGCACTGCAGGACTGGGCATAGGCGGGCAAGAATTGTAAGTACCCCAAGGAGTGTGAAGGGAAATCGGGGGGATGGGTAGACCGGAACAAGCACTTCCTCCTGGATACATGGGTGGCAGCGGGCAACAGGCCAGGTTTGCAAGGTTTGCCGGGTAACCAGGAGGTAATACAAGGGTCACATCCTGTTGTGGGAAGGGGACAGGGGCCACCATCTCCTTTGGTGAGGAGCAGGGGCGTGGTGATCCTGGTATGGGCTGCAGCTGTGCTCCAGAGTAGGCAGTCGTTGGAGGGTACTGGAGTGAGATTTGGTAGCCCGCCGCTGCTGCAGCAGCTTGAAACGACGCAGCACTTGGGCTTGTGGGCGACTTTGGAGAAAGGACAAAAGGCAGCCTGGACACATCCAAGTGCTGAGGCGGGCTAAGAATAAGCGGGGGCGGTTTGTGGGGTCCAGGATGTCCATTGGGATTCAGCGCTGCGGTCCGTTCCTGCGGAACCCACACCTCCTCTGTGGCGGCCGGGTCCCACTGATAGGGAGGCGGCCGCTTGACAACCATTCCCGGTGCGTCATTGCCTACGAGCGCCAGGTTCCTCAGTGACTGGTTCAGACTTTCATCCTCAGTGAATGCTGAATTAACATAATCACCTCTGTCTCGGTTATTTCCTCCTCCTGCTGAGGAACCTTCAAGAGCGCTCAGAAGGCTGTAAGAAGACTGGGAGGCCAGAGGAGTGGTGCTGTTGGAGTGAACAATAACTGTGCTGTGTGGCGCCCCATTCCCAGGAGGGAAATCCTGTCTGATGATAGTTCCTCCCGCTATTCCGTTCGTGCTCCCTGGGGCAGTGCTTCCAATACTAGATCCACTGCTACACTGACTGCAGGTGTATAAGGCTGTTGGCACCCTCTGCTGGAAGGAGGCTGCTAGTGCACTATTATTATTTTTAGCCTTTGGAGGCAATGGTCTGGGTGGCTCCAGCATCTGGGAAACTTTGAGAGCGGCCTCTCGGCTGTTCCTCCTGAGAGTGGCATGGATCAGACTGCTGTCAAGTCTCTGCCCGGGGTTCCTGCCGACAGCACTGTTCTGATTGGCCGCGTCAGGGTATGGGGGCGGATCTCCACTGGGTATGGAATAGCGAGGGGCAGTGAGCCTGTTGAGTGTTGCAGAGGTGTAGGGCAGCTGGATCTTCTTGTCTGAGGCGGAGGAGGAGGAGGTGACCCTGAGAGTGGCCGAGCTGCCAGGTCCCTGCAGTGTGTAGACATTCTGATTGCAGACGAGGCGCGTCCGAGGACGACAGACTTCCTCCACATTCCCACTGCTGTCGAATGTAGTTATCCTCTCATATCCAAGTGGTGTGGGGTATTGCGCTAGTTGCTGACCTGAAGGATAAAGCGATAACTCTTTCTTCAGACAAAGCTCACCAGGGGGAGAAGTCCCGTTGGCGCTCCCGCCTGACCCAGATGCAGGATGGGAGGCTGCAGCCGAGGCCGACGTTGCTGCTGCAGCGGCAGCGGCAGCGGCCACGGCGGCAGCCACTGTCCCAGGGTAAGGGGGCGGGGGATTCATCTTGCTGAGCTCCAGAGGGGCACTGAACACCAGTGTATCACCCTCAGCCATTTGTGGTGTCGACCGAGTGGTTTTGATTTTTAGCAGGTGCTCCTGTTCACCCCCCACCGCCCTCTCGGCCGCCAATTCTGTTGGGGGGTGAGGGATCTGTATCTGCAGCGCCCCCTGCGGAAGCTGGTGCACAGCTGCACCTGACAGCTGTCCCGACGACATGGGGGGGACGGGGATTTGAATCTGAAACTGCTGCTGGAGTTGATGGTGGTGCTGTTGATGTTGCTGAATCTGATGCTGTTGTGATTGCTGTTGGTGATGTATTTGTTGCTGCAGTTGCTGTTGAATTTGTTGATGCTGCTGTTGCAGTTGCTGCTGCTGTTGTATGTGCTGCTGAAGCTGATGTTGATGCTGCTGCTGCATGTGTTGGAGCTGCTGCTGTATGTGTTGTTGCTGAAGCTGCTGCTGCTGTTGTAAGTGTTGGTGCTGGAGTATCTGCTGCTGCTGCTGTTGGAGTTGTTGCTGCTGAAGCTGCTGGTGCTGGTGCTGAATGTGTTGTTGGTGTTGTAGTTGGTGGTGGTGATGGTGATGCTGCTGTTGATGGTGTTGCTGTGGTGGCTGCTGCTGCTGCTGCTGTTGTGATTGGTGTTGCTGTGGTTGCTGCTGCTGTAGTTGATGGTGTTGCTGCAGTTGCTGATGGTGTTGCAGTGGTTGCTGCGGTTGATGGTGTTGCTGCGGCTGCTGCGGTTGATGGTGTTGCTGCGGCTGTTGCTGCGGCTGTTGCGGTTGATGGTGTTGCTGCGGCTGTTGCGGTTGATGGTGTTGCTGCGGCTGTTGCGGTTGATGGTGTTGCTGCGGCTGTTGCGGTTGATGGTGTTGCTGCGGCTGTTGCGGTTGATGGTGTTGCTGCGGCTGTTGTTGTTGTGAAGAATGATGAGAAGGTGGGGGCCCCACCATTAGGCGACCCATTTCAAGTCCACCGAAGATGACCTGACCAGGACTGGAGTACCTGGTGGGAACTGTGTACTGGGCGGTCAGGGTGGTGTCCTGGCTTTGGTCTGAGCCACCGGCAGCAGCACCAGCTGAGGTTGATGTGGGATTTGTAAGGACATCCAGCTGAACATTTTGATTGGCTAGAAGTGACTGGACCAGACCGATGTTTTGGGCGGGGGACATGGCCTGGGCGGGACTGTGGATGGGCGCGATGGGTATGTTGACAGTGCAGGGCGGGTTGTCATCCGTGCCACCAGCAGGGCCTGTGACAGGTAGGTCGTCTTCATCCTCACTGAAGACGTTGGGGCTGAAGACAGGGAGATTGATGTAGTCCATGGAGATCTTACGCACTTCCGGCAGGTAGATGGTCATCTGTCTGGGCTGTAGATGGAGGAGGCTTGTCTTATAAATGACTGAGAGGAGAGAGACAAGAGTATGATTGATACAAATAAAAGCAATGAGAAGTAATTCAATTCCTGTTAAATGTTAATTGAGAAGTTGTTGATCTGATACCTGCACCAAGATTAGTTGGCAAGAATGTAGAAAGTCCCACAATCTTGAACTTTGTTCCCCAAATATTGGATGTGACCTGAGCAAGATAATTTTGCTGCAACACAGGATCAATGATTATCGTATTATTTTCTCTGAAATCCTTCAAACCAATCTGCCGAATAAATATGCTTTGTATGTTCTGTAGTATTAAATATGTGAGCGTATCAACATTAAACAAAATACTGCCCCCATGCCTGAACAACCTGGCTATTCCACAGCTAGTTTCCCTCAGAGGCTTCCCAACAGACGACCAAGTGTGTCTGATGTCATTATTTCTATTAAAAGGACTGTACATAACATAACAAATAACATGAATCTTACCTGAGTGATGTCATCCAGAGGAAATTCCCTTCGTGTGAGACTGGGTGAACCAATTGAGGGTTTCCGTATTGGTAACCGCGGCGACCTGGATATCTCTTGTGTAGTGCGGGATAGCTTGGGAGATTTTCTGGGATCAATGTTGATCCTGTTGGTAAAGGGACAAACTAAGTCTCTACAGAGAAGGTAGCAAATACAAAAAGAAGGTTTAGGCATGCAGTGAACCAAAACAAGTGAAAAACATTCCATTATAGATATAGGTTAAATATCTTCATATGCATCTTGGTTCTCTGTTGAAACAGAAGCATCAAAATAAACACTGAAGAATTGGGGGAAATCATGTGGGCAATTAAATTCTAGAATTTCTTTTTGAAAAAATGATGATTCAAGTTTGATGAATATGTGAAACCAACATTGACTTGATTTAAGCATTAGTGTATGGAACAAACTATATAATCTCTTACTCATTTCACAGAGGACTTTAGCTGATATGTTTCATATAGATAAAGCTGGTAGTTAAAGCTGGCACGATACAGTACACACACACCAGTTGTCTGGTTACCTGGGCAGTTTGGGGGATTTGCTACCCCTGGATATCTTTGGAGATTTCTTGCCAACCCAGTCGTCGCTCAGCTCAATGTCACTGGAGTCTGAGCAGTTACAGCTGTCAATCATGGCAGATATCAGACTGTTGCCGTACATCTCATCTGAGGAGAGAAAACAAGATTGGCGATGGAAAGAAGGAAGTGAGTTTCGAGCAAATGGATTGTAAACGTGTAAGTCTTAAGGAAAAATCTGCTCGTGGCATTATTTGATGATGCTGCAAACCTACACAACCTTGATGCAAAAAGATTATACTCTGATTCTGGCTAAAATGTTCATAATGTTGCCATTTCAAAGTGTATTATAGCGAGGACTAAATCAGGGTGGAAAGACAGGAGTACAAATATGAGCTCCACAAAATGGCAGTATTTGGCAAATATTATAATTAAGTTGGAATTGCAGGAAATTTACTCCAACAACTTAAGAGGCAGGCACCTTCTAATTGCTAGCAAAACATGATGGCAGCAGCAATGTTGAACCGTTTGTACAGATAAACATTTAGACCCATTCACTTCAAACCCCAGCTGTATCAAATCTTACTTTTTCCTCATTCATCTGTGAACCACTGCTGCTCCAGTTTAGGTCAGGCTAATTTATTTGATGGGCATTAAAGTGTGAATGGGCTGGAACCATTTCATGGCTGGCTTCATTTATCACTGCGTGGGCAGGGTGCGGGTTGATTTATGAGAAGCCCAGGGGCCATCACAGCCCCCATTAAGGAGTTTTTAATTAACATTGGCCCAGTCTGCCCTATGTGACTAAAACATACTCACTCCGAGTGCCAACTCAAGAAACTCAAATAACTGTAGGAGTACTGGAGGAGGACGACCAAATTTAGCAGTTCTGTTTGAATCGTTACAGTAAAAGTAGATAAGATACATACAGTGGTATGTATCTAAAAGCCCCTGTTGGGAACATCTAGTTTATTCAGTAGATTCTAATCAGGTAACATATTAAGTGGTGTTCGTTTGTTATTCGGTGAAGTTGCAAAATTGGAGGAACCTCAGTTTTACCTGTTTTCCCATCTGTCTTGGGGTCCATGATGACAAACTCTGGACGCAGCTTACTTATTCGACGGCCTTTTAGGATAGGCACCAGACCTCCTAGATACTCCAGGTAAAGAGTGTAGCAGGGTCCCCCCACCTCCGGGTTATCTTCCGTACGCTTCATTGTACAGTGCAGACGCTCGTTTCCAGATGTTGGGTAGCTCACGAAATCCCGCATGTTGTTGGGCTCAGGGATGGGGGGCTGAGAGAAAAGGTGAGTTTGTGTTTTAGTTCAAGCAAGGAGAGTATTTCTAGTCTTAGAAGGCTGTGAAAGCGATGCTGTGCAAAAAGTAAATTTAGTAAACATCCATTTTCCGTGTTTGCTTTTTATTCCACGTTTGCCCTTTGTTACCTTGATGGTGGGCACAAAAGCAGCTGTGACGTAAGAGCAGAGGCGGAAAGGCATGGTGAGCTTGGCGACATCTTTTTCCTCCTTCACCGCTGTGGCGATGCTTTGCTGGCAGAGCAGCTGCAGGTTGGAGACGCGGTGCTCCACTCGCACCAGGTAGAGCGCCGAGCCACACGCCAAGAACAGACGAGAGTCCCGGTGACCCCAGCACAGCGTGGTGATAGGCCGCTGCAGGGGAATCGATTGGTTAACGGTTACTTTATGTTAGTCTATTTCTTATCTACTCGCTTTACAAAAGAGGCTCAGTTAACTTTTTTTTCTAGCTAGTGAAAACTAGCCTCTCATCGAGCCTCATCCTGCGGAGGAAGGGAAATACGATACATACAACGGTACGGTGACTCAGGCCAATTGTCATCCACGGTCGACCCTGTTAAAGTTGATCACCTGTGCTGGTGTGTCCAGTGTGTAGATGTGTTCACCCCCAACGTTGTAGAACTTAACGAGTGCGTTCCTGGTGGTGGGAGGGCAGGAGGGCTCGGCGGAGAGGAGGGTCTTCTCCATCCCCGCCACTGCGAGGAGGTCCCCCTGCGAGCACCATTGGACCACCACATCTACAGCATAGAAAACACAAAAGCCCTTGAGACACTGTTTGTAAATATGTTCAAACGAAGGAGGAGTTCCAGGAACACTTTGGTGTTTTTTTATCACGGAGAAGCCCACACACCTTTCAGACCGGTGCGGATGAGGATGGGAGAGAGGTCGTCATAGTTGTTCATCAGGCTGATGTCTCCAGAAGTGAAGCTGACTGTTAGCAGTGGTTTCTGGCTGCGCACTGGCACGAGACAAAAGTAAAACACAAAACAAGGCAATGTGGGAGCAACCAAATGAGGTGTGCGACAGCTTAAAGTACACAGTAATACCTGTAAATACAGAGAACGTCTTAAATTGTTGTTACGTCACTTATTACAACCACAGTCAGGCATGAAATTAATGAATTGCTGGCCCTGTTTCAGCTTCTCAATGGTGAGGATTGCTGCTTCTTTGTTTTTTGGAGGGTAAAGTGAACACCTTATTTTGGAGTGCTGGTTTGACCAAGAAAAAAGGAGATTTGATGGAATTACCGAGGGATTTAAATAAATACGATGTGGCTTTTCCCAGGCATTTCATAGGGGAGGAGATAATAACATGCATTTTAAGACTAAGCTGTAAATATTGTCTGCGTGTGTGCGTCCACGCGCTTATTTTAAGGCCGTTGCGTTTGCTGACGTTAGGTGAGCGCTGCTGTACGAGAGACAAGTACCAAATTATCAACATAAATAAAGATTATCCAGCTGGTGCTTTTCTACTTTGGGCACAATACAGTTACTAATTCTTTCTAATTAGTATCCAGTTCACAATAGGGTTCTGCACTAAATGAGATATATGCTGCTGCTGTGAACGCAGTGTGTTGTGCTGTGCAGTGATAATGGGTCATCATCATACATCACAATAGAAAGATCTGGCAGGCGGAGGCAGAGGCGGTGTAGTGTCTCAGTCAGGTTTTTCGACTTGAGAGATAATCTCTATCGGAGCCAATCAATCACTATTGACTAGTTAAATTAGTGAGTTAGAGCATAATCAGTGTTCCAGCTAAGGCAAGCAGTTTTCAGCTTTACCACGTGGCCTGCGGGGAAGTGAGAGGTGAAAAGATAAATATCACAGCAGGAGGACAGACCCTCAACAATACAGCCAAAGCAACCGGGACTAATTATGCTCAAGTACCGTGAACTCCCCATGTCCACCCAGGCTTACTGTTCTTAATTACTACCATTGTATACGTCGGTTTTCACGTAAGGCACAAATAGAAAAGCTGACGTGACCTGCAGATAACAGCTGATCATGCGTGTCTGAATGGGACTACAATAGAGTCCCAGTGCAAGAAAAGTCCCAAAAGAGTATTAGTCTATTGCAATACATCAGGGCCTACTGATAACAGCAAATCATTTAATCAAGGACAAATTTAGAATAAATCTTCTGTGGAAGAGGTAGTAAAACCAAATACAATTATTTTTTAACTCCACCCTTAAACACCAAGGACAGGAGGAGCTTGTCCATTACTGTAAGTAATATTTTTCTGTGAAATAAAACTATACAAAATATTACTGAGGCCCACCTCAGAAACTGGCAAATGGCCATTTAATAACCAGCGATTTGCCACTCTATGGCCCACTGACCATTAACGGACCAGGACATGTGCAATGTGTGTGCATGAGAAAGATGGCACTACCCCCCTGTAGGACAACAGCTCCTGCAGCACCAAAAGCAAACAGGAGGTTGAGTGGCAACGTCAGCGCAATCCTCCTCCACCTCTTGCCCTGCACCGACCTTCCATTCAAGTCTCTCCCTCACCACTGGAAACTGAATCTCCAATTAATGCATCGACTGTGAGATCAGCACCACAAATGACTCTTCATTATAACATCCTGTCCTTCAAACTGTCGGCTTTTTTGCACTTAATCCAGGCAGAGTTTATGTCAACTGTTGTGTCTTGGTGTTTCACCCTGTTAAAGAGCGCTTGTTGGGAGTTATTAATTGTTGTTGTAAAGTTATAACCACGACTCAATGTCAATACAGGTAAGACAAGTAGCTGACAAAATATTTTGCTGCCTGCCAAAGAGACACATTTGTTACGTTGTGAAAAATTATTACTGTAAGGAAATTTTTAACCAGTATACCAGATAAACTTATACCGCTCAGCCCTAATGTCCACATGCACGTGTTTCAGAGCATAAAATATTCATGGGATACCAGAGGGCTGAGGCTGCTATTTGCTATATAATGCAGACCTACAAGCCATAACTTGTTTCCCCACCTGGTGCACCCAACTATGGACATCTCTCCCGCTGTCTAAGGACTAAGAGTGCGAGGACGAGTTAATAGAGCAGTAAAAGATGGCGGTAAAGCAGTGGGAGCAGTTCGAAGCTAACAGATGGTCCCACATCTGCACCGAGGGAACTACGTGTGAAACAACTGAACTACTTCAGCCTTCCACCACCTTACGGCCACAGCTCTGATTAACTAAACTAGTTTCTCACTGGCATGTTTGTTGTGTGTGTACCTGAAGAAGCCACAACGCTCAAATCCGACCCAAAGCAGCTTACCTTGCGGTGGGGAGTAGTCATCAGAGTCCGTGTCGCTCTCACTGCTGTCCTCCACCAGGAAATTGGGGTAGTTCCAGGACATGCTGACGATGCCATCCGACTCATGCAGCAGAATGTGGGCCAGCATGCGCCCATGGCAGTCCATCACGATCACCTGTCCATCTGCAGTACCAAACAACACCTAGAGAAAAACATTCAAGGGTTATAAGGGAGAACAAGAAAGAGAACAACAGACATTTAACTGAGACGGGGGCCAGGCACACATAGAAATAGACAGAGCAAAGACCAAAAAAATGCATATCACAAGGAAAATAACTTTGATAATTAGTTGTGCAGGGAAGGAAGGTGATGAGCGTCTGATGATGGCAATGAACAAAGGCAGAGACAGAAAGTTTGATGATGTCCAACCTAAGCTGACAACAGCATATACAGGGCTTCTCAAAACATTCAAGACTGAGAATAGTTGCTGTCAATCAAAGACTATCTCCCTCGGGGCCCGTCTCTGCCATCTGAGTGACAAGTCCAAATACAAAAAGTGGAAAATGACAACCTAAAACTTTGACGTCCGTCAGCATTCAGAGGCTGGCATACAGCCGGGCAGAAACATTTTACCCGTCACTCCCTGTGGGATCTGTGTGCGTTACCTGCTGGTCATCGGGGGTCCAGATACCACATGTGATCTGGCTTTCGAGGTTGATCTCGGAGGACCAGTGCCTTTGCCCGCTGACGGATCCCACCAGCACGAAGCCATCCCGGTAAGAGATGAGCGCCTGGGTGCCATCGTGGGACCACGTGAAGTCACTCACCTACAGAGCACCAGACACATCAGTTCAGAGGGAATCGATGGAGGATGAGACACCAGCTGGATTATCAGAATGCATCGCTAATAGTTATATGACAAATCCCACTTTTCTAAAATATTGGCTGCAACATCATGAGCTTCTGATGATGTCATTGTGAACTTCCATTTAATTTAAAAACTGAAATGATTACTCAATTCATCAATACATTAAGCAAGTAAAACGGTTATTGATAATTCACACAAACTCCCCCACAAACTGATCATTTGATAAAATGTAATTATGGTGAAACGCATATATATAGTGTTTTAGTGTAATGCAGTCAAAAAGGATAATTTAAAAAGCTTGAGATGTTTAGAGCAACACCGCCTCAAGAAGTGACAAACAATGGTATTTACATCGTCACCAGTTTCACCCCCAGTAATGTGACCAGGGATGTCAGAATAGAGCATTATAAAAAAGGCCTCCTGCAGACCGTTAGTGCAGACTTGGTCTCGCTTAACTGAAATTAACACTCTGCTAATGTCAGTGTAAATGAATATACTTGTGGGAAATTAAATCTTTACCCGCAGGGGAAAAGATACCATTTTAAACCCTACAAGCCGTTTGCTCGTCACACTCAGCTCAACAGATGACAGTGATTGATTGCCTACCATTTGTACCTCGCTTGGTAGTTATCATCAAAATTTAGCAAGTGGAATGTCTGCGTGGTTCTTTCCATGTTTGAGGCAAATCACTCAATCAGTAGCAGTATGGTAGAAATGTGGAAGAATGAAGCAATTCCTCCTTACAAGGTCCTTTTCTGTTTGAATGTTTGTCATTGCTAATACTTGTTTTTCTTTTTGTTACATTATTGTGTCTGTACTAATTACACATCTGATTGCAGGGTAACCGGCTCTCCAACGGAGTCAGTCAAAATATCAAATCTCAAACTCAAACAGTAGAGTATTGAGTTGAAAATATTAGATATTTAGAGTTGTACATTGTTCTAAGCAACCGGCCTAAAAACATTGACATATTATCTATAAGGCAGATCGCCAAGTCCTAATTCCATGCCAAAGCAAAAACACGTATTTTACCTGGGCTCCACGGTCATTGACCAGCTCCACGGACCAGCGGCCTTCATACTGGATCCAAACAAAGATCCCTCCGTCTGTATCACAGGTAGCCAGCTTCTGGAAGGGCTCATTCCATCGCACCAAGACCACCTTGAAGACACATACAAATAAAAACGGGAAGAAAAAAAAAAAAAGGGACAAACAACGATAAAGGAGATTGTCTTGTCATTACGACAGCCGTTGTCTCTGTGAGAGATATGAAACTGAATTCATTGAAGTTTGGGTGGCCTTCCGTTGACACCGCTTTGCCGCTTTAACTAGATAATGGGAGTTGATCAACAACAGTGTCTCGTCAGAGGGCCCCTTGATTAAAACTGAACTGCGGCCGGCAAACTCAATGAGTCACACTAAACTGACATGTCAGCTGAAACGCCTCAAATCCACAAAGCAAAAACCAAGTTCCCACATTTCAAAGAGCTAAATTTAGCATTGAACCAGATACAAATATAATCACAAAGTGGGTCAACCTCATTTTTAAAAAGTTCCTTTGCAACTTTTTTTAAATGAGGTTGAGCTTCTTATACATTTATATATGAGTAATACAAACAAGGAGATTGAATTATGTTGTTGAGCCACCATACCACATTTATAACATTCCTGAGTGTTGTTCGGGACTTAATATTGATGTTGTGCATCCTTCAGGCACAACGTCACTAGCGGACTTTTATATAAAGCACTTAGTTGGTCAAGATAAAAAAATAAAAAGAATCACCTTCTAACACTAGTGACAGATACGGGACTTTTTGTGCCAGCCCAGCAGATACAGACAGGCGAGAAGAAGAAGTTTGGATCACTGGTAGAGAACAGTATAAAAGTACAAACCGTCCATAATCTTTCTCAGCCAGCATCATCCATCCCCAAAGGTACCCATTACAATCTCCATCCAGCCACCTCTCCCTGTGTGCCTGGTCCTCCATAGCGTGACTCAGCCTATTCCCAGCAGAATAATCCCAACGAGAGAGAGAGCGCGGCTGTGCTCTTGCCGAGTGAAGCACGTGGGCTGTGCACGTCCAAATACACAACACGGGGAAGCTTTTACTGGGGCTTACGCCCCTTGAGTGCGAGAGATCAGAGCCTGAGAGTTGGATAAGCCTGCACGGTCTTGCTCTTCCCCCTACCCCCCTAACAACACCAGCACCATCCCCACCCGACAAACGTTCAACTGGAGCACGGGCAGATGGGACTAAGTGTTAATAATTAATAATCACACATTTTAGTTTTGTTCTTGTTGGTCCAAGAAGAGAAAGTTCCAGAAGTTTGAAGAAAACATAACTAACCAATGTGCCCGCGGCACGTCTGCCGATCTGTTCCGGTTACAAGTAGTTTGACTTTGAAACCCGAAGAAAGAGAAATTTATAACAGACATTGTTGTGGCTTGAAATGAGGACACAGACAGGAGGAACACACACATCTATCATATTTAGTGGTTTATTCCCATGCATGCAGATCAGAGTAATCTCATTCAGCTGCTCTTTTTGCAGCAGCACAGCATCACACCAGGGCTCTACCAAAGGTCTCATTCCACATACAAAAACTGCTCAGGATTTGAATGAAACGTTCTGGCAAAAAGTTTGAATAGTTGAATATTAATTTGAATGAGTAGCCAATAACCAAACTTCTATATACACAACCATCGTTTCTTTTTACCACGGTCAAAGATGGAAGTCTCAGAGACGTCCTTTGTGAAGCTTAAAGTGGGTGGTTCCGGCGGTCGCCATCTTGGCAGTGCCCAGGCCCAATTTTAAGCCTTAATATAATTTTAAGTGGCGAGTTATATAGAAACTTCTTCTACCGCACAGTTTTAATGAAGAGACCCAAACTTTTTTTTTTTTTACTACTGTGGAAGCATTTTAATTTGTGCCAATGAGTTGGGGGATCGCTGTCACGTTCAGGCTGGGCGTCTTTCCCTTCGGAGCTTAGTCACGATATGCTGATTCTTGATGCATTCGTGACTGTCGTAAAATCTAGTTTAATCCAACTTCAACTAGTGTAATATGCTGTTTCTTGATGAAATCCGAGGGTGAAGTGGGTCAATTTCTACCTGAAGATGATAGATCAGGGGAATGTGTGGACCGTACCATTTTTAATTGCCATGTACACAAGTAATGCTTCGATAAAGGACATTTAAACCGGGTAAAACACAAATGATTTGAACATTTTTGAGCAGAAGATGTCTCCATTATATTATTAGCAGCGATGCTGAGGTAACTCCTGTTAACGATCACATCTATTCTGCCGGGTTCCTCGACAGTTCCCAACAGCCATTGCCTTGTGTATGTCTGAAGTGATAGAAGACAGGGTTATCCTAGGTGGACTCGACGTGATCCGTCTCACACAAACATGTTTATATGAATACACCATGTGCCTTCAAGCGTAATGAGCAAACAGTAGGACTCATCGCTCTCCGGGCCCTGCTCCCTCAGCAGTAAGGTGTCCTGTGAGCCAGATTTACTGTTTATTCACTCCCGATCCCAGCGGTATAAATCCTAATGTTGCATCCGTAGATGTGCCTCAGCTGCAGGAGAGAGGACACAATGAGACCTGGCCTGTTGCAGGTCTGCGGCAATTTCCCTCTGACTGAGCAGACCATAATCACGGACCGTCACAAACGGCCTGCCGTCAATCAGCCACAGCAGTCACTTAACGCGGCTCGCAGCGTTTGGTGGGCATGAAGTCGACAAGCCTCAGCGGTGGTATTGTCATGCTCACAGATCTCATTTCGGGGGAATACAAATCAGTGGTGCTACTCCGCTCGCTCGCGGTCTGTAACCTCTGCTGAGCACAACGGATTTTTTCCAGATGGCATTATACAACCTAAGGCAGCTCCAGCTTGTGTATACAAGAGGTTTGAGATTAGGTAGGAGCGCCAGGTTGCATAATGCTAACATCATTCTTCACACTGGGCATGAACTGCCACAGAAGGGCCAAAATAAAAACGTGCATGTGTGCGAGGGCGCGTACGTAAATTCGGCTCAGCGTGGTGATTAGTGTGAGCTGGTCAGGCATCCCGCGAGGAGACAGCTGAGCACCTCGCTGTGACGCAGCGATCTGGGTGATCAGACGTCATGTGGACAGCGAGGAAACCAGAGGGATCAACGGCAGGGCAGGCTCCCCCACACATACGAACACACACAGCGTGGACCCTCATCTCATTGCAGCGCGGTCAAAGAACAGACAAAAATGACGCGCTGTGCAGCAGTTGATTAATGCCCGTGTCCGCAGGAACCCAGTCGAGGCACCTTGGAATTAGGAATTAGATACACAACTGGGACATTTTAAGAATACAGCTAGACTAAAAAAAAAATTTTTTAAAGCAGAAAGATTCACCAATTGATTGGCTAAAAACGAGACGATTATGTAAAAAAATTAAATCTGAATCTACCAAGAAAGTTGCACTCTGGTGCTAAAGTCACATGCTGTAAGCCGGGCAAACCAACGCGAACAATAGACGACGGGACTACATGTGTAGGAGCCCTTTAATACCGCACCTTTGGCCACAGCAGTGACCATAGCCAACTTCTCCTTGGGAAGTTGGCAGCGGCTTCACTCCCGCAGAACGTGCTTCGTTGTTGCCACTGCAGCCCCGGCCTCCGACTGGGAGCGAGCTGACCCCAGCAAGCTAACTGAACACACCAAATCAAATCAAGGGAGAGCTTTGGGTTACATTGGAGTCAGCAGAAGTGAGAGGACACGGTGACAGTGCAGCGGCACAGTGGTGCAGTCGTGAGCACAGTCGGGTCCACGGTGGCACTCGTCCCCCGAACGCCAAGGAGTTTTACTTTTTTGTTGTAGGGTGCTTATGAATGAAGTGGCTGGACTGGTTGTATGGGAGCACAAGTAAAGCTTAACATTGTTTGTTTTGCTCCAGTCTATGCACGCGAATTCTTAATATATGACATTGCGAACTGCTCGACAACACTCCACATGCGGCACACGTGCACTACAATAAGTAAAGCAAGGTTTGTAACCAGAATAAGATCAGTAAAACAGAATTTTAAAAACAAATCTGAAACATATTTATTTTTCAAAAACATCCTTGCTTGACTATTGATTAAAGAATGATTGACCAACAAGGGAACAATAAAATCAGATGCAGTGCTAGCAAGAAGGAGAAGATGGTCCCTTTCTCTCCATAAACAGCGTCCCCTCTGAATCTGGTTCTGGCATGATATTAAATCAGACGCAAAACCTAATTAAAGAAGCGCTCCGTTGTGCGGATACAAAAGCAAGGAAGCCAGAACGGGCGGCAGTGATTTGCAGCGTAAAGGAAAGGGCGGCAGGACGGGACCTTCAGTGGAGGTTGAATCTGAAAGGTTTATGAGTAGCCAATAACCGATAATAGCAATTACATTGGTTATCACTGCGTGCGAATGGTGAAACGCCCAAGAAAAAGTAGCAGCGGGCAACAGAGCCAAGGCTCTGGGTGTTGGAGGTGGACGCAGTGATGCGCAGTTAGATGCTTTAAAAATCGCGTGATTCGTCACAATTCTACTTTCCTTCGATGCGTTTCTAGACTGAGTCATTTGTAGAAAAACACTTCAAACTTGAGAGAGAGAAATGTGCACAGTTACGCGCCACGCTGTCGCTCTCTGAAGAAGCTTCTAGCGAGCAGACAAGCCCGCCTGGATCCGAGGAAGCAGCCGAGCCGAAGTGTTACGCTCTACAACTTCTCCAAGGATGGATTAGCACACTAAAGCCATTTCCGCTAAGCCCATTTGGTGAGGCCCTTTTAATGCGCCGAGTGTGTCGCGTTCTCCTCGGTCCCGAGTGGGGCTTCTAATGTCAAGATGCCAGGAGAGAGCAGCAGAAAGGGCCCCAAAAGGAAGGAGCGGGTGGGATGGCGCAGGAGATGATGATGGAGGGAAGGAAGGAGGAGGACTGAGGGAGGAACTAATTAGGCAGTGTGAAAAGACAAGGGAGCGAGCTTCAGATAAGAAAAAAAGTGTGTGGACATAGGTGACGATGAGGAGGGGGGGTGGAGGGGTAGACTTTCCACACATTGCAGTTAGTTTAGTTGCAGACAACTGCCCAAAGAGGGACGAGAGATTTCTTTGCCTGGTCGAACTGCTGCCGAGTGTAACGTCCGACCGTAAGGTCTATAAAGATGGTGGAGACAAGGGGCCGGTGGTCGTCCACAGCGGACCGCACCTCAAGTCCAACGTTGAGGTGCTGGCGCAGCACTTGGTGGGTTCAGGCAACCGGCACATGACTCCACAGTCCTTCGTGTGGACGTACGCCCACAAGTCCCCCTCCAGCACAACGGGGAGCTGCGGCGTATTGTGGAAGCTCTGTGTAAACGGGGCGAGACATACGCGCTTCCAAATGGAAACCGGAGCAGTTTGGACACAAACACCAAGAGAGCGATTCCTTCCCTCAGATGCATGATGATCAACAGCCTTATTAGTAGAGTTTGAAAGTTACAGTTTCAGAGAACAACAACAACAACAACAACAACAACAACCGAAAGAAGCTGCGCTGGGAGAAGGAGCAACATGGTGACGGTGTAATCCTGAGCTAGTGCCCTGGGGTTACACGTCTCTTTTGGATTGGTGCCTTAGACAATTAGTCCTTCTCTGCCTGAACAAATAACCGGGATCTGGCTTCAAAGGGAGAACACAAACAGGCAGGACAATAATCCACCACTAAGACTCATGGGAATGGCAGCGAAGGGGTGTTTGATCGCATGTTCTCAACAGTTCCAGCAGACACTCAAAACTCATCACGCATCACCAGAAAAACTGCGTTAGCCTCAACAATTCATCAACACGATTACATTACACTGAAGACTTGTGACAACATTAAGTGGATATTTTCATTGGAAATTAAGGACTTCCTTTAACTATCAACGCACATTTGATTGCACCGTAGGACCAATGGCACAGCTGGCAGTTGATGGGATTCTGACAGACAATTTGCTCAAACTTTATGTCGCGGCCGCTATTTCCTTGTCAACACGCTGACAGTCATTGTCGAGCCTGTCTCGGATGTTCAGCTCCTGAGGAGACAGAACGGACTCATAGTGACTGTCTGCTCCGTCTGTTCAGCTTCTGTAAGCACTATAAACGGGGAGAGGGAAAAAAAAAAAAAGAAGCCCTGGGACTGTCAAAAGAGGCGTTGATCTATTCTGATGCACGTCCCAGAGGGATAACGCCACAACATCACAAGTGTAGTCATTTAGAGAGACGTGAAACTTTCATCTATTTTTCTATTATATTTTCAGTTTAATGCAAAAGACACAGCGGCTGCTAAAAAAGGTCAGAAGCTCGGCTTAGAAAACGTTATAAAAATAGTTGCAGGATATTTGAGGATACATCTTTCAGTAGAACCTTCATTTGTCTGGTCGATTTATTTTTAGTCTAAGAATAAGTTATTTAAATAAATGTTAGTTTGTGTTGCGGCAGGTATAATCTGAACAAAACCTTCACAACAAAACGTCATTCAAAATCAACCAGATGATCAATCAGCTTGAATCACTTCAAAACAACCAAAGCAACAATGTTAAACAGAGAAATTGGGCGTTTTTCTGCATCATTGTTAAATGAATAGTGGCGGGTTGTGGACTGCTGATCAGAGGGCGTTTTGAAGTCGCCATATTGGGTCATGAGACATGTGATTTCTATTTGAAAGACCTCAGATTAAGCAATGAGGAAGTTAATAAGAATAATCAGTTGCCTGATTTAGTCCAAGCACTTCTGCACCCAGTCTCACTGAAGAGAAATTAACCATTGAATAGAAAGCAGTTTTCTCCTGACACCCACTGTGGAAAGATGTGGGAGACCAAACAAAACAGCACGTCACCAAACACACACATTGCTCCCTTTTTGAAGCAGTTACGTTAGTATCTCTCTCACCCCGGCTGAAGGGGAATTAGAAAGCAGAGAACAACAATCACAGATACGTTACTGGCCTTCGACCTGAAATACCTTTTAATTATCTGGACGATTTCTTGTGGCGTCTCAGGAACGGGCGCTACAACAAGACAACCGCTGAGTTTAACCTGGAAACGTAATGCTTTTATCTTCCGGTGAAATGGGTGCAGACTGGGTGGACCACAAGTGAAATTTTTTTTTTTTTAAATGTTATCGCAGGACAGGCAGCGCAACGCTCTACGGGAACACGGTAATTATGTGTGACGGCTTGAGATCCGCCCTGTACTTTACTACATTCAATGTATTGGGCCGGGTCCAAAAGACACATTCAGACACTCCTTTCCATTAAAATAATCGCAGGACACTCTGATCTGTGCATCAACAGGACTAAAGGCCAAAATGAAGGATGTTGCCGTGAGTATTGATCTTGGCAGCACTGGACTCGTACGGCGGGAATTCATGTAGCATTTGTGTGTGTAGTCATACATAACACGACCTGAGCTTATTTACCTAAAGGACACTTGTCACCGGCGACTATAAGGGATCGATGACAGTGCTGACGTTTAAAGGGCACGATGAAAGGTTACCAACATAGGAAATGTTGGTTTGAGGAGATATCTTGCGTGTTAAAAAACAATTCCAATACCGCAGAAAGAACTGCAGACTATATACCGCGCTCTGCAGCGGGGGGGATTGGTCATAGCTTGACAAAATTCATTAGGCAGTGTGATTTCCAGCACTGTCAGAAAGCCCAAATTATGCATAGGGTGGACGAGTCATGGATTTTGCATTCCCCAAAGCATTTATTTATTGCTTCATATCAAATATAGAGTGGAAATGGAGAGGACATTACTACTTTCATTAATGGTGCTGTGCTGAGGGCAATGTGCAATTTTCTATCACTAGCATGTGTGTTTGATGAGAAAAGCCTCCGGATAAGTGCATAAATGAAAGGAATAGTTGTCTAAACAGCATGCACCAAATAATAAAAAGGAATTTTTAGGACTTGGACCACATTCAAGTGGGCAGAGTTAAATGACATTTCTGCTGCGCTTCAGTCCTTCTCTGTAGGGATTCATCCACTCTCCCCTCCGCTGCCGTATGGAGCGCTGACACAGCACCTTGCTCCATCTGACCAACAGCTACTCACTGAGAGAGGAAAACGCAACCTGTTTGCGATCTACTTGTGCCAGCACCCGTTACACCGGCGGGTACATTCATATAGATGGTGGGTGGGTGACCTACTCATCGGATCTCTCCAATGATAGAGCGAATAGCCTCAGTGCGCTAGTTGGGGGGGGAACTCTGGGTTACAAAGACAAAATATGATCACCACTTAATTTTATAATTTAAGTCATAACTTTCACAATGTTTTTTTGCTTGTCCTTCACCGCTGACACAATATTTAATAAAGCAGGAATGACCTGATAGGCGTTTCCCCAGGAACACTCACCTCGCTGTTGTGTCCTCTGAGGTTGAAGTTGACCCTCTGCGGGGTCGGCCGGTCCCGTCTGCAGTGGCTGGACGTGAACGTGACCCCGACGACTCCTCGACCGTTGCCGGTGGCCAGCCAGCCCTCCTCGTAGTAGCGTTTCCTGCACACCGGCTTCTCCTTCTCGCTCTTTGGCACACGGCCCTTCCAGGACAAGCACAGGATGTTGGAGTCGCTGCAGAGGACCGGGCCATGCTCCACGGCGGCGAACATCCCTGTAGCTCTCCTTGAAGCCCCTAGATGAAAAATGCAAAATATACCCTGGGAGGGATGTCGGCGGTTCTTCAGGAGGGGTCGGTACTGCTATGAGCGCCTGTCCTCCGCTTAAATTACCGGTTCGGTGTCGGATGTGAGACGGCGACAACGGTGCATAGTACTTGCGTTTTCCCCTCGGCAGTCTCGGGTTATTTACAGTAACGGTTTATACGGTGATAAGGGAACACTTCCCAAAAAGGTACAGAGGAGGTCACGCGGCTGTGGACTTCAGCGCAGCTGTATCGGGCTGCATGCACAGCGAAAAGGCACTCGTTCAAGTCATTGTGACGCGTCTGATCAGTGAGCGGCCTTGTTGGCGGTGTTTAAAATGACAAGGCAACAGATGAGGATGATTATTTAAAGACTCGCTGTGGCAGATTCCAGACTTCCAGACCCCAGGAATGCAATCAACAAAAAAAAAAAAAAAATGAAGTTCCAGTTGGTGTAAGTAACGTTTCAGTCGAGTTCAGTGTGTCATTTCAGGGCTCCGTGTTCGTCCTCCTCATGCGACCCCGGCCGTGTGTGAGAGGAGGAGCAGGGACTCCATCAGCTGTCAGCCCGCAGGAGGGCCGCTTCTCCCGGTAACGTCATCACCTCAGACAATCTGTCTTTACAAGCCGCCTCGGTGATCCCATGGAGGACCGCTGCTTACCAAAAAATAAAAAACAAATAAATAAGGTCATTATTACACAGAAAATTAACAAGTAGTACAACATTTTTACAGTTTGAATGATTTAATTAAGACTGTTTAAAAAGAGGGTGTGAACGGTGCACCCACCACAGTTAATTTAACGTCAAATATTAATGCGTTCACCTAAAATTAACTATCAATTTCCGTTACTCGTGCAGCGATAACTTTAGTACGATTACTCCTCGGCGGAAGGATATTAAACAACCGATTTATTCAAGAGAGCAATGTGTCATTGTAGGTCCAATTCGATGAGGATAGCACTGGTGAACCAAAGTGACAGTAAAATAGGATAAAAGCGTTTCAATATAGTAAAAAGAGGGACGAGGAAAACAACAACGAGACACAGAAACAATTACGAAAATAAATCCAACGAGTTCCGACGGACACGCAGACCGCGATTTGCTATCCGCCAATAAAATTAGACCCGGTGGATGTCGTCAACTGTCGCAATGAGGACATATATTATGTTAAAACAAAAAAAACTAAAACAGGTGGCAGTACAGTATATGTTACAGCTAAAGTGTAGTTTGACTTGCCTATTTTATTTTAAAGACTCATTGGCAATATCGTTATAATATTGAAAGTACTATTGAAGCCAGATGAGGATGAAGCCAAAAAAAAAACCTAACAACCATCACCAAGAGCCGCCTGCTAGCAACAGATAGCTAGATTCTGGATGTTGAATCAAGAAAATAGAACTGTGTGGGCTGCATAGATCAAAACATGTCAGCAGCGGCATTAATCTCCCCAGTTAGAATGTAATAGCTTGCCATCGTCTTTGTGTGGCAAGTCGAATCGAGCTAGCCCAGATGATCGGGAATCCAGTCAACATCAACCAGCTGTCTGTGTTGTCTACCGCTACAAAGAATAGCCAACAGCTACAGCTATAGCTAACCCACCAGCTAGCCGAACGAGAACAACCATCGGCGGAGACTGGCTCCGTCCATCCGCCGCTGCCACTGATCGCTAGCGGGCTACAGCTAGCATGTTAGCCGACTATTTATCCCGACGTTGTTGAAATATCAGCACCCATGTTATCCCCCCCACACACACACGTAAAGGTCGGTGACCTTGTTGACATAGTGGGGTGTGGGGGAGTTGATAGCAGTATTGTAGCCGACATCGTCGGAAAGACGCAGACGGGCTTACCTCTGTTACTGCTTCTTCCTCTGCCCGCAGCCTGCTGCTGTGTACGCTGCTAGGGCCCCGACAGCCGTGTCACGTGACAGACACGTGACACCGACCAATTAAATCACCGCGGTTCACGTTGATAAATGTGTGTGCGTGTGTTTTTACGCTCATGTACGGTGTGTGGTTTTCTACCGCTGATGTCTGGTAGATATGCGCTGGATTCTGGGTGTGTCGTAAAGGTCAGACAATATTAAACAACCTTTTGTTTTAGACTATATACAGGGGTTGTTGAAACAATTACAATTAGAAATGGGAGAAACGTCACTTGAGTTAGGGGAATTATAGGTATCTTGAAGTAACTGGTTTATTTAAAGGGATATACTAAGATATTTATGAAAAGGAGAGAAGAAAGGTGAACCGTTTTGTAACAAAAGACCTAGAAATAACTGAATCAGGAAACATTTATTGCCAAACTATGTCAAACATACAAGGAATTTGTCTTGGCGGTTGGTGCGTGACAGTAGACAGTGTAACAAGACAGCAGTGCACAAGTAATAAAATAAAGTAAAATGAGATGATAATGCAATGGGTTAGTAGAATAAGGCTATGGGTTAGTATAAAACAAGAGAATAAAGTTAGAGTTAAAAAAATTAAATATTAAAAAAGTCTAAAAATATTAAGCAGTGCAGTAGCGAACAAGTAAAGTGACGAGTGACGACAAAGTGACTTTGTTACTTGAAGTAAACATGACAAGATTGTCTTATGTATCAGTGATATGTAACTACTAATTCTATGTTCAGATTGTGTTGTGTTATTCCATTCGTGTTTCCTGCTTTTGTTCCGAATTTATTAATTCCTTCAGCATTTCAGTTAGTGAATATTTGGAATTTCTATCTCCACTCCGTGCCACTTGATGGCGCTAATGCTTCTTAACACTATTTATTTAGTAAATATACATAAAGAAAAAGAAGAAGAACAGCTTTTTTTTCTCTCTCTCTCGTCCGTCCCACCTTGTTAAAAATATGGCTGCCCCCATGGCCCTCAGACGAGGTCTATTTTCTCTTACAAGGATCCTTGGAGGAATCGCACATTCGGTACAGTAGCCGACATATTATTTTAATTATACATGGCACAGTTTGAGAAATGATCGGTGAATCTCGCAGTTTTCTCACTCGCAGCGGCCTAAGCTCGTCTTTTCAAACGTCACTTATGTGTCATTCTTTATGTTTACTTGCAGGTACCAAGAGCTTTGGGGGCTTGTTCAGCTAACAAGACATGTAATATAATCAGGTAAGTTTGGTATATAAGGAACATCCGCCCACGTCATCTTTTGAGGAGCTGTCATCGACAGTACGTCGAGGCAGCTGTTTATACTTTCAATCATTTAAGAATTCAATCTTCTTCTTTTGTTCCAGCAAACTGTATAAACAATATTGCAAATATTCAAGTTAATTTATCTACAACGTGCTTGAATTTGCACGGATAAATTAAAAAGAACAACAATTACTTATATTGTTATTAAAAATGGTATTTCATGAACTAAGTTTATTCCACGGTTTTGATTAGTGGAATGAGCGTGGCTCCTACGGTTCTCTTTAAAGAGTTGAATGATGCTAAAATGTGCTCTGACGCACAAGATTGAATGAGACCATTATGAGCTTTTCATGGGTTTGTTTGTGTTAACAGTTCTGTTCCTGCAGGTCCCGTCTCCCATTGGCATCCAGCACTTACTTCCACACGGCAACGGTGTTTTCATCACAGCCTTCATCGGTGAGTTATCAGTGCAAATTATTCATCTCACACGCCTTTGTAGCATTAAACAGTGTGAGACGTCCACTCAAGTGCAATGTCTCATTTCCGGTTTACATTCTCGCGTTCCTGCAGATCACTGTCACCAAAGAGCCCGACGCGCTGTTTCAGAGGGTGTCACTGTTGGTCAAAGGTCATGACAAATCCGTGTTGGACAGCTATGAGTTGTTTGCCACCATGGCAGCTAAAGAGCTGGGCATCGCCATTAGCAAAGTGTGAGTACTGAACGAGTTAAGCTGCCACAGAGGACGCTAGCGATGCGGACCAGCTACTTACAGACATTGTTTTGTTGATTTGATTTGATTTTTTCCTTCTTTTTGTTCTGCCACAGTTGTGAGCTTCCCAAGGACACGGAGAGGTTTACACTCTTAAAGTCAGTCCACATCTTCAAAAACCACAGGGTCCAGTATGAGATGAGGACACACTACCGGTTCATTGAGGTGACGACCCTGAACGCTGCATTTTTAAAATTTTAATTCAATTGGTCACAAATTGGTATTTGAGCCTCACAATGGTATACGATGATTCCATCATGACTTTAAGATGTCTATGCTCTTGTGTTGCAGCTGTCTCACTTAACGGGCTCCACGGCACAGGTGTACCTTGAATACGTTCAGAGGAACCTCCCTGAAGGTGTAGCCATGGAGGTGACAAAGGTGAGTTTAGGCAGAGTCAATTCTACACCCATAACAATCCCACCCGCTCAATCCCAAGTCTAATGGATTTCTCCCACTTTTTGTTCATGCTAGACTGCCATGGAGAAGGTTCCAGATCACATCCTGAAACCCATGTGGGAGGAGGACCCCATTGATAACAAGCTCAGCCAGGGATGAAAAACAGTGGAGGTTTATAGGATATAACCTGCAATGTTAACATAGTTGTCATGGACCTGGGATCTGCTCATCATATAGATTCAAACGACAGAAAAGGTGTCAACCATAGAAATTGCTTTCATCTACTGCCGTTTGCGTTTATGATTAAATTCTGCATTTAAGTCCCCTTTTGTGTTTTTTTTTTTTTTTTTTTTAATAGGAATTATGATCTTAACAATACTTCTCAACAATATTTTTTAGCTGTCCAGAGATATTGGATTTGTTTGTTATTTTGTAGAATAAAAGACCCAAATACAATACTTTTTGCATTTATTGAATTATTAGCATACAAAAAGAAAGGATCAAGAAAGGATAAGGATAAAGAAATCATTTAACTTCACATCCATCCTGTGCTTGTGAAAACAACATATGTATCCTGTGATTGAAGACTAACACAGCTCAATAATAGTGCCCATATTGATGCGGACAATAGCCCCTCTCTTTCTGTATGAAAACGTCATACGGAGATGGCACACATAAAATCATGATGCCGTGCATGATCACCTGTCACTTCAAGTGTCACGTCGCTGAGGAAGAAGGGGAGAGACGTGAAGAAGGGCTTCCTCCGGGTTCCTGCAGCCTGGAAGGTTACCTGTACTGTGTGCCCGCCCCCCCTTCAGTCATTAATTCTTAGAGTCATTAAGAGTTAGTCTACTATAAATCAACCAAAAGGGAGAAACAAGAAGGGACTGCGGAGATCGAAGAGGAATCTAAATGTATTGAAAGGGCTGAAGAGGATGGAAAAGATACAGAGGAGAAGGAAAGTGACACACCTGACGTGGCTAATTTGCTCAACCGTCGACCACAAGCACGGGGGACGAAAACACAAAGCAGAGAAGCTCAGGTGGTAACCAAGAAGCCGAACCAGATGGACTCACACGAGGACGTTAACTTTGAGCTGGCTCCCCTCAAACACATTTCTTACCATAACTCAAAACCAAAAATCCAGATCTCCAGTAAAGGAAAGGCCATTGCAAAAAAAAGAGCCGCTCTCGGTCAGAAGGCAGCGTGCAACAACCGAAACAGGGACAAACGCTCACAGCTCAAAGCAGCAGCTGGGGCCCGCGGCTCAAGTGAAGACAAAGGACGATGGCGAGTTCCAAAAGCCATTTCACCATCTGCGCTGCAGAGGAGCCACTCCGACCTGGCTCAAAGTGCCAAAGTGTGTTTGTTTAATCAGACATCAAATTAAATTGTGAAGAATTATTAAGAAATAATGAAGAAAAACACAATCTGCTACTGTGATCACTTTCTGTAAAAATACAGGTTCAAAAATAGGACCCTTTTTTCATTCAGATTTTATACGATGTTAAGCAACATGAGGAATTGTTTTGCCAGTGAACAAAAAGTGTAGTTGTTAAAATAAATGTCTGTTTTGTATCACCAAAGACGGCCTTGCTGTACTCTGATCACCTGATGGTAAAAAGGGGGGAAAGGATGTGGATTAGCACAGTTTTCATGTTACACCATGTAACGGCGTTGCATGTGTTTTGTTTTTTTTACCCCTCCTTTCCCTCCACTTCTGTTTGACACGCTGAAATGTCATTCCACATACTTAGGGGGACACAGAGGACGCTAAGCCGCGGGTTTTACAACCTGCCTGTGTCGCCCCCCCCTTGATCATGAGTGAGGCCTTGCACACCTTTTCAGACATGAAAGGTCTGGCGGCAGCTTGCTGACAGCTGCATCCTCTACCCAAATAACAACGAGAAGTGCTGGAATACAACAGTTTGTCAGGCTGCTGCTGCTGCTGCTTTGTTTTCCAGGGACGATCCACTTGTCTTCTAGTTAGTTGAGTTGTGTAATTTCCTTGTGATGTGTCAATATCACACTTGATAGAAGCAGGAAACGCCGCACAGAATAGTAAAATATTCAATTATTTTGGTCTTGAATTTCACCCGTTCCACTAAGATATCTGTTGCCTCTTCTGAACATTTAGTGCACAGGTTCTTTTGTTCTGTAAGGCTATTCTTGTGATGAGTTGGAACTGTAGCATTGGCTTATGTTTGTGCTATAAATGGCTCCAGACTGAAGACACACGCAGGCCTGTCTAACCAGAGGTGTGAAGATCTCAGGTGAGGCAGCGTCCCCTCACTGCTTCATTAGACACATCACAGCAAACTGATAATTGTCGTCGAGCTGACTTTAAAGAGTCATTTCCCGCAAAAGCAATCTAATTATTTTTCTTTCTATCACATGATGCGTCTACTTGGCCCGATTCACACCGCAGTGATAACGAACGACGTCCTCCGAGAAGGTCGCATTTTGCCACTTGAGGTTTTCTTTGAACTTTTTTTTTCCGCCTGAGCCGTGAACCAATAAACCTTCCGGAGATCTGCTTCTGTATAAAAACGCTTTGGCCCAAATCGGCTGGACAGAATCCGCCTGTCGGTCGCCGCTGATGTCACTCGGACGCGCGGAAGTCTCGGGCCTATTTCAAACATGAACCTGGACGTTGTCACCGCTCAGCTTCTGTCCGAGTGGAAGAGCCACGAGAGTGCGTTCGGAGAAGATCGGGGAGAAGATCGGGACTCGCTTCAGTCCACCTCGCCGGAGTCCTCGCTGGACTCCCTGTGCTCGTCCCCGGAGATGTGCTTCTCGGGCGGGAGCGGGGAGCTGGAGGACTTCTCTTTCGGCTTCACGGGGCGGAGGGCTGCTTCGGCGCAGAGGCTGGGCAAGCCCAAGATGTCCACCAAAAGACGCATGAAGGCCAGCGAGAGGGAGAAGATGCGGATGAGGAGTCTCGCGGAGGCTCTGCACCATCTCCGAGACTACCTTCCGCCGGACTACAGCAGGAGAGGCCAACCCTTGACCAAGATTCAAACCCTCAAATACACGATCGAATACATCAACAAGCTTTCGGACATCCTGAGCCGCGCGTAACGGGACGCAGTTGACTTTTTACGCACCGGGTTTAGTGGACTTTAGTGGATTTTATGAGAGCTACGACACCTTTGAGATAACTTCATCTTATGATCTCATATATTATGACCTTGGTTTGCAATTTTCTTGATTTTTATTTTATTTTAGTGGGCACTTGGCAATTTTTTTGTAGCCTATGAGGCTTTTTTGATGGAGATACAGTGTGCTGTTTGTTGTCATGTATGTTTCTCTTGTGGTGTCTCAAAGCTTATGAAATATAGTTTTACTGATGAATTGTCTCTCTTTAGCAGATATGTTTGTGTTAACATATAACTTGGTGTCTTTGGTGTTTTGTGTTTTTAAAGTAAACTAGAGTAAGCCACATGATATGGTGATTTGTTTTTTGCAGCTGGCCGCCTTGTGAAGCTGCGCCTTTTCACTTCTTCGATTTCTTCATTCCACTTTTGTGCAATACAATGCAATGTGATCTGTTGGAACGTAAGCTTAAAAGAGAGACAATATTAGCATTATAATTAATGATAATAATATATATGTTGGTATAACCTCACACGAGGCACCATTTGTTGGGCACAGCGTAGAGGCTATGTGTTGGTCAATAGTGTGAAATGAAATCATCAATAGAATTAGAATAGAATTGCAATAGAATTATTAATAATCGCTAAGAAAATTCACAAAATGAATAAATAACAGGGCACCACCCGAAAAAGGGACTAATAACCAAACTATAAATCTCATAATTGATATTGACACATTAAGAGCAAGGAATTGAAGGTCTGAGTTTGTACACTGGCTTTGTTTCCAGCCATATGCACAAAGAAGTCACAGAAAACTGCTCCTTAAGGTATAACAGGGTTTATTAACTTCAATACTAATCTGATCAATACAATTTGTAATCAACAAAAGCTATTATACGATATCCTAATGTATAAAAAACAAAGATCTGAACGTCTCAGACCTCATTTTAACGTCTTTTCAACCGGCTAAAAAATATAAAAAATGTAAATTTGTTGATAATGTGTTGGAACGTAAGGTTGAAAGAGAGATGACATTATTATTAAGACAAATGTCCACAAACAAAATTAAAGAATTGGAATATGAGTCACAGACACAGGAGCAAACGTTCACACACGATATTGAAGACATGGAAGACAAGTTGAAGAAGAAGAAGAAGAAGAAGAAGAAGAAGAAGAAGAGGAAGAAACAAACGCTTGTACGCTCCAATAAAGCCTTGAAAAAACAAGCTGGATGAACAGAAGAACAGGTATGAAGAGGCTGGCAGAAAGAATTACAGAGAATGAAAGACAAGATGCTCGAGAAGCAGAGAAAGAAGGCGGGAAAATACAGCTGATTTTTTAATTCAGCTACGTAAGTTACTCCCACCGGTGTAGGTGTCTAAGTCGGTTTCCTCCTAGTTGCTAAGGTTTGCCCACATGTCTATTGACATGTAAAAAAAACAGACACCTGGGTTGGGGGATGGGAAAAAAACACCTCCGCGCCATGATCTGTGCTAGCCAACACACACACACACACACACACACACACACACACACACACACACACACACACACTCATATACACGCTGTATATGTCATAGGTCTGGACGGTTTTCATCAAACACATTCACAGGTTCAAACAAACAAAATGTTATTTTAATTACAGAGAATAGACTATCTATAACACTTCAAACACTAACTTCTTGTCCTTAACTGAAGCAAATATATTATAAAATCTACTTGAAATCTATTTGAATAAAGTATTCATTTTCCGGCGTATTCCATTTTGCCATTACAAGATAGATGGCTGAATACAAACATGCAGTAAATGTTCCAAACAGTACTGGTATCATAAAGTAGCTGCACAGTAAGGGTTGGTGAGGTTATAATGCTTAACTATTTCTATGTAACAAAGGGAAGGTGAGAGAGATACATAGTGCAACACTAGCGGTGCTTGAGATCTGTTATGCTTTTCTTCAGTAATTTAGTTCACACATCTTTCTCCACCTTAATGAATACAGTGTCACCCACATCTTCTTTAAGATTTATGAAAACGTGTCTATAGGCTCACAGGGTGACTGCAACAAGTGTGTCTTCATTTAATTAACTTTGACCAGAAGTTTCCTTCTACATAACCTTCTCAACTTTGTCATATTAATTCTACAATACCAACAGTATACAGTTAACAAAGAGAACCGAATGCCTTCACATTGTTAAAGTTGTGAGGGATTATAAGCTGTTATTGGTCATTTTCACATTATTTATTTTCCATTAGACAGTATAAATAAGCAGACATTTGGCAACAAAGCATGTCATAAAGCTACATAAAGCAGACTTATTGTAACACATAATTTAGGCCCGTTTCAGTAAATGCACCACCTTAGGCCCCTTTTGTTTGGTTATTGTTTTTAGGGCAGGCTGTGTTAAAAGCATCGGCCACCAGGGGGCCGTGGGCACCTCTGGCCTCTGCCAGGTGGAGGAGAGACCGGTCCATTGGTAGCTGTATAAAAGGATAAAATCACGCATTGGATGCTTGGCTTCGGCCACTACGGGTCACACTTATAAGAGTAGCCAACTCAACTGTTCCTGTCGGGGATTTCATCCAATTTAAGTTAGGAAAATACTGCGTAATGTCTTCCCCAATTCCATTGACTATTTAAGAGTCTGGCTTAAAATAGTTGAGCAGATATTATCAATTATATTTACAATCTAAGTTAACATTCTTTGAACATTTGCTGTAGTAGGACAAAGGCTATTAAATCAATTTTATTTGATAAACAAACTGAGAAAAAAGTGATGCTGATAGCGATGCTGATGACCCTGTTGACGCAAATGTAGGATCGGTTGAGTAAAACACACAACTAAACCTCCAATAAAAAAAGAGTAGGAGGATCATATCGAAATCTTAAGACATACACATACATGGCTGTCTATGCATGTGATTGTGCGAAAGGTGCTTGCATGGGTGGGAAGAGCCTCTGAGATGCATGGGAGAGTGGGGAAGGAGGAGGGCCCATGCCCATTGGTCCATCCATGCCCATTGGCCCATCCATGCCCATTGGCCCATCCATACCCATTGGCCTCAGCGGTCCAGGTAATGTCGCATCCTCCTCATTCCTCTGCAAGAGACGGGCAGGGAGTTCACATTTGTTTTCAGTTTTTAACTGAAACGCATTTTGATTAAAAGAGCAAAACTGTTTAACCTTAACCTTTAACACCACGCCAGTTCAAATATTAGGGTGTTCTTCCACTATTACTTCAACCATATACACGCATCTCTGCACACTGGCAAAACCCAAAGGCTGTTCCTTAACATGCATCCATCTGAAATGGTGAAGATCAATAATAATAATAACAATAATATTGTAATTAAATCTTCTAATTTGTGTGTATCTGTAACCTGCCCATAACATATATTTTTACATACATAATTATGTTTAGCTTCCAAAATGCTGAAAATAAATCACACAAACGCTGCAATATGTTGTATTGAACATTCAGCACAAGATTATAAATGAACAACATCTTGCTTAAATGAATGAAGTCTAAAAAAAAGAACCCTGCAATTAATCCTACCTATAAATGTTATATTTCACGATATTTTGTATGTCTGTAGGTTTACTGAATCCAACGATGTTCTGTCCTCATAGTACATTAAACTGCACATCTTCACATATATTTACACGGGTATACACAGGAGCTGCAACGACAGTGCCCGTGCTATTGAGGGCTGTTAAGCATCGTCATTTCAAAGTAAACAAGCCTGCAGAGCAAAAGGCACGTCGAACGTCACAGAAACATGGCATCCTGGTGATTGCCCAATTGCAAATAGCCGCACACCCGGTGTTAATTGTGTATAAAAGGCGCGTTCCCGTGTTTGTTTGTTTTAAACGCAGTTGCGCCGGTGAGAAATGGAGAGACTTACGTCAGCTGATGATGGAGGCGAGGTATTCAGAGAATATTACAATGTTCCTCAAAGCTAATAAAAAACATATAAATGGATTAGAAAAATAAAAAATGTTCAAAAAAAGTCCCCACGCTTATTTGGTTGTTCGGCTTCCTCAGATTAAATCGCTTCCCTGGTTTTAGATTTGTTTAAGAGAAGCACGTGGGCGCCCCGGGAGGAATACTGGTGTTTGATTGGCTACTCGTTGCTCCAAATCAGCCTGTTGTGCGATGTTTTGTCAGTCTGATTGGAAGAATCTGAAGACGTTGGTTCTGATCGTTCTGTTCAGATAGCAGAAGGGAATAAACAAATGACTCGCCATTTAGAAAACACAAGAGGCCTTATTATTTAATAGCTTTCATCCACAACAAAACGATCACATATCATGTGGCTTACAAAAACACCAAGACACAAAGTTATGTTAACACAAAAATGTCTGCTAAAGAGAGACTATTCATCAGTAAAACTATATTTCATAAGCTTTGAGACACCACAAGAGAAACATACATGACAACAAACAGCACACTGTATCTCCATAAAAAAAGCCGCATGTGGGCTACAAAAAAATTGCCAAGTGCCCACTAAACAATATATACATCAAGAAAATTGCAAACCAAGGTCATAATATATGAGATCATATGAAGAAGTCATCTCAAAGATGTCGTAGTTCTCATAAAATCCACTAAAGTCCACTAAACCCGGTGCGTAAAAAGTCAACTGTGCGTCCCGTTACGCGCGGCTCAGGATGTCCGAAAGCTTGTTGATGTATTCGATCGTGTATTTGAGGGTTTGAATCTTGGTCAAGGGTTGGCCTCTCCTGCTGTAGTCCGGCGGAAGGTAGTCTCGGAGATGGTGCAGAGCCTCCGCGAGACTCCTCATCCGCATCTTCTCCCTCTCGCTGGCCTTCATGCGTCTTTTGGTGGACATCTTGGGCTTGCCCAGCCTCTGCGCCGAAGCAGCCCTCCGCCCCGTGAAGCCGAAAGAGAAGTCCTCCAGCTCCCCGCTCCCGCCCGAGAAGCACATCTCCGGGGACGAGCACAGGGAGTCCAGCGAGGACTCCGGCGAGGTGGACTGAAGCGAGTCCCGATCTTCTCCCCGATCTTCTCCGAACGCACTCTCGTGGCTCTTCCACTCGGACAGAAGCTGAGCGGTGACAACCTCCAGGTTCATGTTTGAAATAGGCCCGAGACTTCCGCGCGTCCGAGTGACATCAGCGGCGACCGACAGGCGGATTCTGTCCAGCCGATTTGGGCCAAAGCGTTTTTATACAGAAGCAGATCTCCGGAAGGTTTATTGGTTCACGGCTCAGGCGGAAAAAAAAAGTTCAAAGAAAACCTCAAGTGGCAAAATGCGACCTTCTCGGAGGACGTCGTTCGTTATCACTGCGGTGTGAATCGGGCCAAGTAGACGCATCATGTGATAGAAAGAAAAATAATTAGATTGCTTTTGCGGGAAATGACTCTTTAAAGTCAGCTCGACGACAATTATCAGTTTGCTGTGATGTGTCTAATGAAGCAGTGAGGGGACGCTGCCTCACCTGAGATCTTCACACCTCTGGTTAGACAGGCCTGCGTGTGTCTTCAGTCTGGAGCCATTTATAGCACAAACATAAGCCAATGCTACAGTTCCAACTCATCACAAGAATAGCCTTACAGAACAAAAGAACCTGTGCACTAAATGTTCAGAAGAGGCAACAGATATCTTAGTGGAACGGGTGAAATTCAAGACCAAAATAATTGAATATTTTACTATTCTGTGCGGCGTTTCCTGCTTCTATCAAGTGTGATATTGACACATCACAAGGAAATTACACAACTCAACTAACTAGAAGACAAGTGGATCGTCCCTGGAAAACAAAGCAGCAGCAGCAGCCTGACAAACTGTTGTATTCCAGCACTTCTCGTTGTTATTTGGGTAGAGGATGCAGCTGTCAGCAAGCTGCCGCCAGACCTTTCATGTCTGAAAAGGTGTGCAAGGCCTCACTCATGATCAAGGGGGGGCCGACACAGGCAGGTTGTAAAACCCGCGGCTTAGCGTCCTCTGTGTCCCCCTAAGTATGTGGAATGACATTTCAGCGTGTCAAACAGAAGTGGAGGGAAAGGAGGGGTAAAAAAAACAAAACACATGCAACGCCGTTACATGGTGTAACATGAAAACTGTGCTAATCCACATCCTTTCCCCCCTTTTTACCATCAGGTGATCAGAGTACAGCAAGGCCGTCTTTGGTGATACAAAACAGACATTTATTTTAACAACTACACTTTTTGTTCACTGGCAAAACAATTCCTCATGTTGCTTAACATCGTATAAAATCTGAATGAAAAAGCGTCACCTGAGGGTCAGATGTTTTGAACCTGTATTTTTTACAAAAAGTGATCACAGTAGCAGATTGTGTTTTTCTTCATTATTTCTTGATGATTGAGAGAAATTCTCATATTTGAGAAGCTGGAACAATAAAAAAGACGACAAAGGGGTTCCTGATTCATTTTCCATCATTTGACTGGTAGAATAATTGTTGTTCTTTCTGTTTTTTACAGGATGTCAAACTGGACCCTTGAGGTGGGGCTTTTGGAAGAACCTCCAGAAATTCCAAGGTTAAGAATAAAACATCGTCCCGCTCACTTCAGGAACTTCAACCTCAGTCTCTCTGCCAGCGGCAGCGGACTCTCGCTGCAAACAACCGAGTCATCACTGTCCAACGCGGCGACGGGTGATGCTGTTTTCCGGAGGAAAACATCCCCGTCAGCTGGCGGGGCGTCCTGGCATCTGCTCGGAGTTGATACAAGTGTGCCGCTCTTCTCCGTATCTGCACCCTGGCTCCGGGGTTGCGGGGCTTTTTTAGGTCTGAGGGGGAAGTCCAAGGGGAAGCCGCCCCTGATCTTGCTCACGGGCCTTGTTTGCGTTTTTCTTTGCGGCCCAGACTGCAGGTTCTCTGCGTCGCTTTCCTCGCTCGATGAGCACGCGCTCATGCACACGCTCTTCTTGGTGGTCTGCGACGCGGACACCTTGGCACTTTGAGCCGGGTCGGAGTGGCTCCTCTGCGGCGCAGATGATGAAATGGCTTTTCGGACGAATTTGTATTTCTCAGGAGGCTTTCTGGAGCCATCGCCATCGTCCTTTGTCTTCACTTGAGCCGCGGGCCCCAGCTGCTGCTTTGAGCTGTGAGCGTTTGTCCCTGCTTCACTTGTTGCACGCTGCCTTCTGACCGAGAGCGGCTCTTTTTTCGCGACGGCAGATTCCTTTCCTCTACTGGGGATCTGGATTTTTGGTTTTGAGTTATGGGAAGAAATGTGTTTGAGGGGAGCCAGCTCAAAGTTCACGTCCTCGTGCGAGTCCATCTGGTTCACAGCGGTGTTCCTCATGAGCAGCCTGTCCCTCAAAGGACAGTCCGCGTAGCTCAGCCCCGCAGCAGCTCCGGAGACGGCTTCTTGGGTACCACCCGAGCTTCTCCGCTTTGGGTTTTCGTCCTCCGTCTCCCCGACGTCCCCGTCCGTGGCTTCCCTCATTTGGGGCACAGTGCTTGTGGTCGATTGAGCCGGAGAGGACGTGAAGGACAAAGCATCCCAGTCAATATCGCTGAGGTGCAGCGCGTCGATAACGGCGGAGACCGACGGTGATGCAGCGGCGTCTGATTCCGCGTGAGACCGAGGGGTACGGGGCCGATCGCCCAGACTGCTGAGGGCCTCTATCGACTCCAGACGCTGTTTACGGTCCACCGGAGTGTCCAAAAGCACCACTTCTGGTTCATCGGTGTTTGAGGCGACACAGATTACCGTCCGTGTGTCTGTGTTAGAGGAACTCTGAAGGGTCATCTGGGCCAAGAGGTCTGAAATACCATCGGAGACATCAGATGGCTTCTCCTTTTTATTCTTTGGCCTTTTCTCTGTAAGAAAGAAAAGAAGAAAAAAAAAGGTTGAGACTGGACGTCTTCCTATGCATTAGGAAGTGAAACTCCACAGCAGTTAAGAGCGGATGGAGGGGGGGGGGGACAGACACCTCTTGGCTGCATCAAAGCCTTTAGAGAGAGAACCAGCCGAGCTGCCAAACTACAGTTTCAGGTGTCAGAGCTGCAGAGGCGGCCTTGAAAAACCCATCAAAGCACCAGGTGCCTTTGATCAGGCACTTCTCAAGTCTGTCTGTGTTAGTGAGGAGGGGGGCAGCTTGGTAGCAAGTGGTATTTTAATGTTGTATGTTTATATAGTACTATTAATTTAGCATGCAAGTGAATATCATAGATGATCGTCTCACTCTTGGTCTTGTTCTCTTCGGCCAGAGCTTTGTCTCTCAGATAGCTGTCCACCACCTCCGGATAGGCCACACGGAAGAGAGACTCTTCCTCCACCGTCCTCACTTCAAGCTCATCCTCCGCAGGTCGATCCTCAGGAAACACGTAATGTTCTGTGGGGAAAAAAATAAATAAATAAACGCCAGGTCTAAAATATGGTCTCTATAGAAAATCTAGTAAGCATTTTGTTACCTAGAATCAGAACTCTCAGTGTTACAAAGTGAGTTTACCATCTCTAATATGTTATTTAGCTTTCAAATATTTTGCATTTCTGCTTGACGTAAGTGATTAATCAACAATCAAACTATCAATTCTCTGTCAGTCAACAACATATCATAAAAGGTAATTACATATCCATTTGCAATCATTGATTTCAAGTATTGTTACTTTAAAGTATACACTCATTAATGGTTAATACAACATTACTCTTCCATTATGAAAATCATATATATATATATATTTAATACAGTAAATGAGGAGCCCCATTCTGAACAAGCCCAGTTTCTCCGGCCGCTCATATGACAGACTTCCTGTCCTGGGAGGAAGACGGTTTAGCACCTAGAGGCTGTTGTGACTGATCTGTCACCTCTGGACCCGAAACTCACAGCGAGTCACTAACAGACAACCCGGTGTTACTCAGCCCGGAAGAGGCATTATAAAAAAAAATCACCATCTTCTAATATGAGAAAAAGAAGATGTTGAAGAGATCAACACTGACCTGGTGCACTCCAGATGATCTCGAAGCAAGCGACCCCACTCCTCACCCTGGGTTTGAATATTCTTTTGAGGGAAAAATGCATTGTACGGTGTTACGATTCTACTGAAATGAACTTCTTTACAACAACAATGCCCCTAAAGCAACAGTTTTGTTGCTGTTAAACAATTAACTACCTGAGGGGCTTGATTTGAGAAGACATTTCTCTTCCGTATTTTCTGTTAATCAACTCTGCGTAGGTTATCAGGACTAAAACCTTCTCGCTGGTGTAGTGCTTCGGCCACTCCATCTTGTCATAGGCAAATTTCTGAAAAACACAAATATGAACATAAACTTAAAGATATCACAGACTCAAACAGACTGAACAAGTGACATAAATGAAAATAAACCCATTACCTGCATCGACAGCAAGTTTGGCGCTCTCCTCTTAAAATGTGACACAGGCTTATCCTTTGCAATCAGAAACTCACAAATGATCTGCAAGAGGCAATTCAGGTTTAAAACACATTTAGTGTAGATTATTATACGACAAGAATATAGAAACCACTGCCGACGAAAACAGCTGTACCTCTGTGAAAGGGAATTGTTGATTTTCCAGTGTTTTCCTAATAGAGAAATGAAACAAAGGAGCAGACTTCCATTAAAAATGATTACAGCAATTGATTTTTTTTTTTTCAAATAGGATCCGAGTTGCTGCAAACAATACATTCTTTGACAGTTTAGCTTGGAAACGTCTTTATTAATTGGAAAATTGCAAAACCGAGGGAGCATTATAAGCTAATCCCCTTCATCAGGCTGAGAATGATCATCTAGATAGACTAGACTGATATAATGACTATAATACTACCGGCCTTGTTAATTGTTTGCATTCATTCATTTACTATTTTGGTAGAGTCACGTACTTTCTGATATTTGCCTCAAAAGACAAGTGCTGCCGGGCTTCTTCATGGCGGTGCCAGTCACAGGGACACTGGTAGTCAAAGTCCTGAGGCTGACAGAAGTGCTTACTGTCGCAGAGCACACAGCCTCCGCGTTCGTGTGCCTTTGTTGAGCCTGAAAAGGGGAGAAGACGAATTAGAATCCCTATTTGATAAAGGAGAAAAAGGAGTAGAAGAAGAAAAATCAACACACTGTGAGAACTTGGGTGTAAAGTCAGAGGCATATTCAGAGCAAGCCGTCTCTCATGTACGTGTACGTTTTAACACGACGGGTTGAAATGGGTTTACATCAGCCATGTGTCAGACCACGTTCTCCCAGGGACCCCCTCCCCACTCTCTCAACGGGAAAAAGGGGTCAGAGTTCAAAGCAGGGCTCCACTCACCGGGATGTCGACATATGTTGCAGTGAGGAACCTTCTTGACTCCCTCCAACACACCTGCATTCTCCTCCTTCCACCGCGTAAACCTCAGGGGATGAAAGACAGCTCAGGAGCGCACAAACACAACACCACTCACACCGTCTAAGTGAGGCGGCGAGAAACACTGTTAATGTACAATGAAACCGTATTAAAAAGAATCTGTGTTTACTACCTCTGCAGAAGTGTTTGTCCATTCAGCATCCGGATGAGCCTCAGCGCTTGTTCTTTACCAACGCCCAGAACGCCCTTATGGAAGAATGACATTGCACAGTTACCGTAAAATCGTTTATATGGAGGGGTTTTGAAGTTTTGAAGAGATTTCAGATAAGGATGTAATCCGTACTTTAGGAATATAATCACAGCCGAGGAGGATGGCCAGACCAACTAGATTCTCTCTGGAGAGATGCAACTCTGTTTGGACTCTCGACGTCCTGTAACAGTCCACCTGTGGGTCCTGGAGGGAAAAGGGGCAAACAATATTAAGCAGATTCAATGTTAAGCAAGAATCAGAATCAGACAATTTGTATGTATTTTTACTTGATAAATATAACAAAACACTAATAACGAATACTACTATTTGCAATAAGGATATTGTTATCTTCTTACTTAATTACTAGATTTATAATTTTTCTCTATGAAAATAAAATTATTTTGTTCTCTAACCATATGAAATTGCCACACTTCACTTCTTAAACTAAATAAATTAGTAGTCTGTATAACAGGAGCCATAACTAATCAATCCCTATTGCTTATCCATGTAGGAGTTTCAGAGATGCAACTAGGAAGACACAGAATATAGTACTTTCTTCTGGTAATCAACAGGGAAATTGTGTTTAAATGTTAATCTGAGAAAGAAATCACAGCTCGGACAGGTGCCCAGATGTTGCGGAATAATTCTTATCTAAATCACTCGACCCTGTTATGATCACATTCAGTACCGACCCCTGGAACGGCGAAGAAGTCTTTTGAATGAGCAGTGCAGCTCCTTCAATCAAGACTCCAGTCAAATGATTTGGGTTGAAATGTCTCCAGGATGTTTTACTCCATGGACTATTATATTGTCACAAACATACTTTACTGTTCATATTGAAGTTCCTGTACACAGTCTGGGCTCCGTACAAGAAGGCATCTCCATCGTTGGTGATGCAGCCGTCCACCAGGCCTTGTGAGTCCAGGTATGCACACATGGCCTCAGCCTCCCCAGCAGCTGTCACCCAGGGCAAACCCAGATAGTCCAACATGTCTGCACACTGCAGGTGTCAGAGAAGGTCAACAGTGCATTTAAATGTGGAACGTATCAGTAATGCGTCTGAAATGCAGGTGAGTGGCGGAGCGGCTGACCTCCCGAAGCACAGCGTTAAAGCGCCCTCTGCTGGTGGTCGCCGCGGCCTTCGGCGCAGAAGCCTTTTTGAATCCTCCGTATCTTGTTTCTGTCCTCTTGCTCATGGTGTCCGCTTTAAGTTTAGGGGCTTGTCCTTCCATCACAAAGACGAGCTTTACTCCCATGAGGGTGAGGGAGGACGCTCTGAAAAATAAATTCCTGGACACAAAAGAGCGATGCGGTCGAGGTGACCAGAGACCACCAGACGCACAAAGAAACAAACGTTTTTTTAAGTCAACATATTGGAAGAATTGATTGAATAACAGTTTACCTCAGGTGGGGCTTGGTAACTCTCCCCATCATTGCTTGGACGTGCTGGGCCTCGCAAACCCATAGACTCAGGTCAACCGCCAGCGTCATTCCGCTCAAACTGTACAGCGGCACCGACTCGCGAACCGGCTCGACGACGGACCACAAATCGTGGACACCCATATCTGCCGCAAATGACGGCTTTTGAATCGATGTAGCCGAGAGGACAGTGTGGAATATGTGAATGCTAGACAATACAGAAAAACACAAAGAGGCGACACGATTTCAAACAGTGGCGCCCTTGGGTCGCGTTCCAATTCGTGGAACATCATTTACTACGCTGTCTTGCTCTTACATTGACTGTAAAGATATGGAAAATAACGTAATTTTGATGTTCGAATTGAATATGGTTAATCGTAAAACCTTCTTTGACGATAATATACCACGTTTAAATTGGATTTATTTAATTATTTCAACATCCAAGTGAAAAGAAAGGAATCAGTCCAGCGAAGTCGGTCGAAGCCGGAAGGTTTAACGTCAACGTCATATTCAAGCGCCTCTATTTGCCAGTTGCTAAGGTGACAGGCTCTTGTTTACAGCTGGTCAGATCACTTTTTGAACCATTGACTGTTTATATTTTCAACGATGGACACAAAAATACTCCTAGAAATTACCGGCTTAATTAAAGAACATACTTTCCATGTTGCCAGAAGTATTGCCGAGGTAAATCGTTTTTTAGTATCTTTTGACATTATTTCTCCTGAACAATATCAATTCCAACACCATCTTTTGTCGGTGCACAACAGGCCCTCAAACAGAAGTTTCCGGAGGCATTCCTCGATCCAAAAATTCAACCCCTAATGGAAATGGACTGGCACACATATTTGTCCCAAAAGAAAATGGTAAGTTGTCTGTTTGTGTTCCTTGAAAGTCCAACCCTCCACCAAATTTATTTTAAGGCGCAAACTTCCAGTAACTCTGAATCTCATTAAAGCAGATACAAAATACACTATAGAGAAGTGGTTAACAAATATCCTTACAACAGGGACCTTAGCAATATTATGTATAACATGGATGGTTAAAGGTTGTAATATATATGTGTATTTCAGATTGTCAAATAAAGGTATCCATTTATAAAGAGAAAACGAGGGAAACATTTACTTAAATCATCAAGATAAAGCATTCATTGGGCTGAAGTACGGCCAGTGTCTATGTTACATTACTACTAGGTTATTATATTATTATCAAAGCATATGAATATAAAGGATGCATTGTATGGACAGCATTCAAATCCTGTAAGTAGAACTAATGTTAATTAATGTATACATGGCTGGCCATTGGGTTTTATAAATGCTTATATATTTAGTATGTATAATCTTGATGCTGCTAATTTAAATACTCAAGTGAAGTAGAAGTACATAACAATTATACAGTACTTGAGTGAATATGTGTGTTACTTTCCACCATTTCAGAAGATTATGTAAACTGCAGCTGCTTGCTGAGGGTTGTGATGCTCTACTATACGGCTAAACACCCCGACAAGAAACAATACAGCTGCAGTTTGACGCCATAGTTATTCTGAAAGGCTGAATCACAACACGTCTGTTGTTCAAATCCATGTGACTCAAGGAGATGCGTGGTGAAGTGTGGCAGTTCTCCAGCAGCCTGATGTGCTTTGCGGACTCCGTTCTCCTCGGTAATGAGGAGGATCTCGCCTGCTGGGCCAAGAACCAGTGGAGTTTCTCTCTCACTCGACCACAGGCTTTCTATATGGCTCTCACTGAAGACTACTACACCAAGCACCTCCGCAAAACTGGGGCAAGTCAACAGCACTGACAAAAATATAACCCATTTTGATTGAAATAATATGGAACAAAGTTTGTGGAGGGTATCAGGAAGCAAGTCATTGACATTAATACATGTTAGGGAAATCTGCAAACCATCAGTACGTAGGCATTGTTACAGTTAACGGCTTATTATTAATATTTCCTTGACCTTGAAAAATTACATTTAAAGGAACACATGTCTCTTCCATTTCAATACAGCAACAGTTTGTCTTCATGGACATTGAAATAGCAGGAGAGGATGTGGGGAAGTTATTGTTTCAGGTAAGGAACAAACTGATGTAGTTTCACTTGCACATACTACCTGTATCGTCTGAAACCACTAACCACTAAGGCACATTATCCTCCCTTTGCTCAGCTTTTCTCAGATGTTTGTCCAAAGACATCGAAGAACTTCGAGGCTTTGTGCACAGGAGAGCGAGGTCTGTCACCGAGCGCCATCCCACTTTGCTACAAGGGCTCTGTGTTTCATCGTGTGGTGCCCAACGGCTGGGTCCAAGGTGGAGGTATGGACCACATTTGTCTCGTAACAATGTTAGACCAATTAAAAACAAATAGAGTTGCATAATCGCATGTCCAACTTTAGCATCGGTGCAGTAAATTTGTTCACGGAACTTCCCGTCACCATTACTCACTACAACCCAACCCATGTTTAGATTACAACAGCTACTAAAGACGTCAGCACAACTGTTGTGAGATTGAGGAAGTGAATTTGTATCCTGGGCTTATCGCACAATACATACACTATCTTTATCAATTATGCAGATATTTCTCCAGAAAGGAAAGGTGATGGAGGGGAGTCAATATATGGTCCAACATTTGAAGGTGAAAACACTAATAAACATTCCAAGAAGTTGACAGTATTATTGTGATAACCCACTGTGCATGTGTATATATGAGAGGATTTCATTTCATGTTCTCTAAATTCACCTCAACATCTGTCTTTCCTCATTTGAGATGAGAGCTTTGCCATTTCCCACAATAGACGGGGCATTCTCGGAATGGCCAATAAGGGCCCACATAGCAATGGATCCCAGTTTTACATCACCCTGCAGCCAACCCACTGGATGGACAGGACCTATGTTGCTTTCGGGTTTGTAACACACCTATTTGCTTTCCCAATGCTGCAATATGTCAGATCTATCATACAGTTTTGCTCAGGCCTAACGTCTTTATTTTCCATTCTAGTCGTGTGGTTGAAGGTGTTGACGTCCTCAAGAGATTAGAAGGAGCTGTAACTTGCAATGAAAGACCCAAGTATGAATGTAGAGTTACAGATTGTGGAGTGTTAAAGTTTTAAGTGTCTGAATGCTTGCTTTGTATTTCTGTTCTTGTAATGAAGTAAACAAATAAGAGACACATGACTGTCATTTGCTTCTGTTTGGTATGTCTTTGCAATTTTGCATTCTGTTTACATGACTCAGATAAAGTAGGTTCTCTATCTTTATGTTGTCTAGCATTTTATGATCACATTCACATCAATTACTCTTTCTATGTATATTTCAATATATTCTTTACGGGTTACTTTGTGTTTTTGAGAGTAATGATAATCCACACATCCACAAATTCTAAATGACCCTTTATCTGTTTTTGAAGTCAGTGAGAGATATCCTGTTTATCCCGCTGAATTGTCATTTTGTGTCAGTTAATTGATTCTATATAAATAACACGACTCTCTCTGGGTGGGCTGAGATAAGATGCTTCTGGCATATAAACGGTCCAAATTGTATCCCACTCCATAATGCTCGCAAAAACACTATTTATAGTGGATGCACTGGCGCATCAGGCCACAGATGCGACTTATTTTGCTGTTGCGTCACATGTTTACCTTTATTCTTTTCCGGGACGGAAAACGGAACCCTGGCAGTTTGGTTAACGATAAATCCCAAATAAGCTTCCCCCTTTCTCGCCGTTGACGTAGTGAGCAGTTCACGTGTTCACTTGTGTGTTTTTTTTGTCACTCCTCCCAGTCAAAAGAAAAAGTGCCACATGACCTGTCAAGTAGGAAGTGGCGAACGAACGCGAGCAGCAGCAGCAGTAGCGACGACTGGAAGAGCAAGACGAGGAGCAGAGAGATACACGTCTCAAGTCTCAATCTCGACGTTTCTCCTCAGATACGTTTCCCCCGTCGGAACAGAAAGAGCGATAAGTTGCCAGCAGTCATGTACTCGAAAGTGGGGTTTTTCGCCGTGGTCCTGGCTCTGGTCGGCGCATCAGCCGCAACGGACTCAGGTAAGTTTGCGACCTCTCAACGCTGAGCTAGCAGCTAGCGGCTAACGGGCTAGCGGCTAATGAGCTAGCGGCTAACGGGCTAGCGGCTAGCATGCTAGCTACGACCCGCCGTGTTCTCCTCAGCCCGGCGAAGACGTCCACCAGTACGCAGAATATAATCTTCCTTTTCTTTGCTGGTTGCAACGCCCGTTTGACCCCACACTTAGTATCGCAATTTTCACTTTAGTTTTCCTAAAAATATATAATGTAATATATATAATTGTTTGTATTATAAAATTCAATTTGGTGGGAACGTTGACTCCAATAACAATAATAGTCAGATCCTGTTCATCAGGATCCAGATGAGCTTGTTATGTAACTGCTCACCGTTCCCTCTTTTTTTGTGTCTTAACAATTGTCATTGTCTGTTTTGATCCCTTTTTGTCAGCTGTACGATTGTACACCTGAGGAACTGGAGTTGGTTTCATTTTCTACCACGTGCAGGAGAAAGTTACAATAACTAATAAATCCCACGGCTAAATTGGATTTTTTTTTTCTTTTCTCAGATGAATGTGGATCCAAGTTGTGTGATACGTGTGTCCAAAACGATGGCTGCGGGTGGTTTAACTGCACAGGAAGTGAGTATCTGCCAGAAATGTGTGGCGGGTTTGTGGAGCCACAGGTTGGTCTTTGTCTGTCCCAAATTGCCCAGACAGCTGGACTGATTTGACATGATGCCTGAAGCCCGTACTGTATTGTGATTGTCCAACGGATACGCTGGTTCTGGAGTAAATTACTGGCACACAGGTCTGCAGGGGGAGAGAAGTCCAACCTATTGCATAGACTCACTTTTTCTTCCCACAATAATTTAATTGTATATCTTTTGTCCTATTTTTTCTTTTTCTGCCCTTTTGGCAGCAGCTCTGTACAGCTGTCGCATCATTTAATTAAGTAAATGGAAATGTCTGCCTAAACATGACTGCTCCAAGTGTGAGAAATCTCTCTTGACTTCTGCACCACAGTAGGAAGGATGTGGAGAAATATGCCGTAGTGGTGGTTTTCAACACTTTGGAAGTGCACTGCTTGTGGTTTAGGATATATTTATCATTCAGTAAAAAGGAGTTGCCATAACAAAACTGCATGACAGATTGTGTCCTGGGTCAACTGACGGCTTTCTTCCTCAGTCTGCTCCTGTTTATGGTTTCTCCTTTTATAGAGCTGGTTGTTATCAGTTTTGGGAAATGAGGTTACTGGTTTGTGTTTTGCATGATTTATGCTACACTAAACTTATGCTCAAAGCCTAGAAGGACAAATCCAGAACCTTGCAGCTGAACAAAAAGAAAAGCCTTGTGATAATTGACGAAATCACCCTACAAGGCAGCACTTTAATGTGTGTAGTCCGACACACACACACACACACACACACACACACACACACACACACACACACACACACACACACACACACACGCACACAGTGATTGTGTAGAAGATAAACAGAAGAGGAAGCGAGGGGATGTGTGACAGGAAGGTTGAAATATCCTCACGCAGGAGAACGGAAGGACAGCGAGGATAACGGCACGAGTTAGAGGAAAGAGTGTGCAGAAAGGACGGAAGATCAGTTTCATGTGACCTGTTTTCATAAAGCGTGCTTTGGCTGGCGTTTGAGGGACTAACTGTGCAATGTGCTCAAAAAATAATTAACAACTATTACTAGTTGGGCTTTGCTCCAACATCAGTCAACTCAAGTAAGTCAAGCACAAGTGTTTTACTTCTCACGGGGTTCGACTTGTCAAGTTTCGCTAATGAGGAACTGTGATTCTCTCAAAGTTCTCACACCCCCGCTTCTGCTTTGTCTCCGTCAAAGGACCCTCGCACGAGGCATTACTTAATAACGCGTCGAGCGGTTGAACCGGACGGGTGAGACCGCATTCGCGTCCCTCCCGCCAGAGCCATGGGAGACAGGCTCAGCTTGTTGTGATATCCCCAAGGGATACGCCCTCACATGCGCCCCCCCACCCTCAACTGTATTTAGAGCTGTCAACACAGTCCGTGTTGAGTTTCAGGGAGAAAGGTTTGAGGGCGGGGTTGGCTGATTTTGATATTGTTTGCGTTGGACCCTGCTAAGCTGAGATTTAAAGCCTCTCTCTCAAACCCAAGAATGGATTTGCCTTTTTCTTTTTTTAAATGAACCCCGCAGGGAAAAAAAACTACTGGTCAGTTCTGGCCACTGTAGACGGCTTTTTCAGAAGCACAGTGCAACCACAATGCCGCCACGTTGGCATTATCAGATTTATCTTTGGTTTGGGGGATTTGTGTAAACAGCCTTTGGCGTCGGACACGTTTCCCTGCAGCTCCACAAGTCCACACGTGTACATTGGAGTTTCCCCAGCGCCTCCGAGTACACGCCGGAGGTCTTAACCGGGTCGCCGGTTTTCCGCGCGGCAGATGAGGCTTTCGCTCGCACCTTTTTTAGCCTGAGCATGCTGTGAACGCAGCTCGTAGTGATGGCGATGATGTCACCATCTTGGAAAAAGGGTGAGAGTCGGTCCTGCTTTTCACAGCTGCCCGCGAGATAACAGCCTTCTGAGTAGTGACCTGCAGGGGAGTTTTGGGGGGGGGGGGCAGTGCACAAAGACCTGCCACAAAACGCATCCCTCTGAGCCGCGGAGGACGTAACGCAGGCTGGAGAGTTATTGGTGACCCTGTTTGGAGAAAGCCAAAAGACTCTTTCACACAACAGCTGTGGCCCTACTGTTAAAATTGTCGAATCTGTAGTTTCTGGGCGGCCATCTGGTTGCAGTCGTCGTCAGGTTTTACAGCCCCGGTTGCGGTACGTTGAGTGAACAGAGTTCCCTTTATGGTGTTCCTGTGAAAGGCAATGATATGCTCATATAATAAACAAATTCAAGAGCTACTTTCTTCTGTTACCCTACCCATGTCAGTATAGGTAATATTAAAGCTTCCCTTTCACTGGAGGCCGTAAAGCTTGCAATGTGTGAAATGGCAGCGAAGGCATCACTGAAACCATGTCCAAAAGTCGGATCCTCATTTATAAAACACGGCTCAGCAGGTTGTGTGTAATGGGATGAAATAGGGTTTTTACATTTGTCGCAAATGGAAAAAAGAATCTCCGTTAGAAACATTCCAGCTGAAATATATTCTCATTCATTTATTCCTGCGGCATTTTTGAAAGGGGAAAAATTAGGATTGCTTAAAATAGTGGTGAGGTGTTGAACAGTGAGGTGACATAACTGGGTGTGAAAAGCATCTGAAGTCACAAGGTGCCGTCTGACTCATAGTTTCCTCACGGTGGCACAAGCCGAGTCGGCCCATTAAAGGAAACGAACAATTCTATGATTTAATCGAATTCTGTTTATGAATAAATAACTAAACGAGCTATGTCTGCGTCTAGAGTACGTGGGACAAGCAAACCTTCATGGCGGGGCAAAGTCCCTTTCCGTCTTAGTTAATTAATAATCCGATGTTACATTGTAGAATCCTAGATGATCAGACTGAGAACCAACAAAGTGAACATTTAGAAAACCAATACAAACCTGACTGAAATCAGGTACTTTGATAATTCTACACACTGGATATTTCCAAAGGAAATGCATTTATTTGACGTTTTAGTCACTTTTTTTATTCTCTTATATTGCCAAGAAGGGTTATGATGTGGCGGGGGGGCAGAATGAAAGGACAGCGTATTCCCAACACCTGGATTTGGGCCTTTGTGACTAACTGCGCTGACCTTCCTGTGTGACGTGATGATAGAAGTGGCCCCGCGGCGCATCATGTTGCTCAACTCTTTTGTGTACACACAACGTGCGTCACACTGTGTGTGCGTAGGAAAAAAACCTCAAGCCGTTATGGTTCGGACCAACGCTGTGGTGTCGGGCATTATTATTCTTCTTCTTCTTTGTCAGCTGTATAATGTGACTTTTATTTCAGATGCTTGTTGAGTCATCTTCTCCTCAAATCTACTTTATTCGCTCGGGGGGGGGGGGGTGAATGTGTCCAGAGAGTGAATGGGGCACTTAATCTGTGATTCTTCCGTCTCTTTGCAGATCTCAGCTGTCGCAACGCAACCCTGTTGCCGGAGAATGGCACCTGCATTCGAGCTAACTGCTCAGGTGAGTCAAACCGCAAAGTCGTTTTCAAATATCAAGTTGGAAATTAACATTTTGTATTAACATGTTCGTTTGGGCCCCAACATTTTTTTTTTTTTTGTTAAACAAAGGGTCACATTTTTGATTCTGTTTGGGTTTAGCTACATTTTAACTGAGGTGTTCCGCCACGACCCCTTTGGTCCCGTCTTCTTTGGCTTTGTTTGTGTCCAAAAGACTAATTCTACACGGTGACGAGGCAGCGTTGTGTACTTTCCTGGCCGTTGTTGTCGTTTGTGTGGCGTCTCTTGCTTTCCCTCCCTTTTTCACCCTCGTCTCGGTGTTGGTTCCCTGTCCAGCTTTTGTGACTTCGACTACTCCCCCTCCCACTTCTGCCGCCCCTGTTGTCAGCACCACCACTGCTCCCACCAGCACCGCTCAGCCCACAACAGGTAACCTGTCCGTAGCAACCTCTGCTTCGGCCCGTGTTCAGCACGTCTGCTTTGCAGTGGTCTCGCTATTACTTTTATTGAGTTAGCTAAAAGATAAGGGAATCTTTTTTTAAAATTGGAATTCTGTTGTTTCAGAATCTGCTTTATCGACCATGCAGGCGTAAGCCAATAAAGCTTTGTTCTCTACATACGTTGTTTATTTTACAAATCAACAATATAAATAAAACAAGGACGAAACCAATGTAAGCATAAATGTACATGCACAAAATAGTAAAATTGGGGTAGAAAGTGCACATGGAGTTGCAGTATGTCTGAATAACTGCTCATTAGGGAGGCGGGAGGAAACGGCAGCACGAGGACGTCAATAGTAAAGACAAAGTGGTTCATTCGAAAAATATAAACTCCCACTAAAAACGGCACCAGTGATTATTTCTGACGAGGAAGCTCCTCCAGGAGCGTTTTGCTTCAGTATTAAACGGTTCTTATTAACGCCACGAGTAACTGCAGGCGTCTGCTAATCCACTGGTCTTTTAAAACTCCAAACTCCCTACTAAGCCGACTGGTTCAAAGTGAGACTGTGTCGAGGTTAACCGATGTGTTCTCGCTCTGCCGCACTACAGACAATTCAACCTCGGGTTCCACCGTCGCTCCCACTCAGAGCGCCAACGTCACCGGCACCACGGCGCCGTCCTCCACCTCATGTAAGTGGGCACTTTTTGACACATTTCCCGGATCCGCCCCGCGATGTACAGAAAACGACGGTAATCTTTTTTTTGTTTTGTTTTTCGCTTTTCTTCACAGCTGGAAACGTCACGCAAACCACCCCGATCACGCCCGCCCCTCACAAGAACACGTTCGACGCCGCGAGCTTCATCGGTGGAATAGTGCTGATCCTGGGCCTGCAGGCCGTCTTCTTCTTCATCTACAAGTTCTGCAAGTCCAAGGATCGCAACTACCACACCCTTTGAAGCGGCCCCTCACTTTTGGATCCGACCCCTCCCCCCCACTCCCCCGCCTGCAATGGACTCAAACAGTGTTTTCAAGCACTGGATCTTTGATGTTCGTGCCATTTGTGGTTTAGGCCTTTATTAGCCCCGCTGTGGTAGTATGCATTGACAGTAACTGTTTTTAACAGAGCAATTACATAAACCCATAGTTACTCCCACCGTACCCATGCCCTTAATTATCCTTCAAAACCCCCCAAACCTTTTTTGCAGGACATCGAGGGGGCTCGTGTTATTTACAGCCCCTCTCGTCGTGGCCTCCTCAATGAAATGCACCACAAGAGTGTTAAAGAATTAGTCATGTAGCCAAAGCGGCTTTCCTGCTGCAGGCTGAGGAGGAGTAAAGCCTCAGACTGGTAGCCTCCACGTCTTGTTTATTCTTCTCTTCCTCGATTTGGAAACACTGTTTGAGTCCACAGCCGCTCTTCGACGTCACGACGGCGATGATTCAGTGTTGCTTTTAGCCCGTCGAATCGTGGGTAATGTCCCTCGTCCTCCGAGCGGCAGCGTTGTGTATGTGTTGTGTAAGCAACGTAAAAGTTGTGGGGTCGCCTAATGAGGGAAGAAAAGCAACACCCAATCATCTGAGGTCACATCAAAAAGAGACAGCCGTCCCTGTGGGGAGTCTCCCGTGGGCTGTTTGTGTTCTGCTCTTGACCGTCCTGGGGAAATGTTACGATACGAAGTTAAAAAGCCAACTGCCAGCAGAGCAGATCAATGCAATAAATCCCACATCGAGTTAATTTCCCATTGTTTTATCTCCCGGTTCTTATCCCTTCTTTACCGACTTTAAGACGTACCTACTCTGGCCGCTAATGTCAAGCTGGCCCTTTTTTAGCCGAATTTCTGTGGGGAGGTCGAAAAGCACCCGTGGGTCGAAATGAGAGATTGTAGAATATTTCACAAACGTCAGGTTTTAATAATGTTTAGTACAGAGGATGGGGAGATAAAGGAAATGGCGTGCACCTTCTTGATGTGGACAGTGATAGCAGTGAAGTGCCTTTAATGTCCCGTGTGACTTAAAGAGAGTAAAGGAAGAGGACGAGTCTTGTTTGAAGCGTTGTCCTTGGTTTGTTTTTAAGAAAGAAGCGGCGCCGCTGTGCCGATATTGGTGAGAACCGTCGTATCCCAGCTGGACTGAAGAGCCTTTTTTATGGAGAATGGAGAAAATAGTTGTGTTTCGAGGGGCCTTGGTCACGCGAGAGGGAGGTTTTCTTCTATAAAACGAGGACTATATTCAGAACATGAAACCTACGGTCTTATCACTGGTGACTTTGTATAAATGAATATTTAAAAGTGCTCTCCCTTTTTTTGTAGCGCCCAATACTAGGCCCAAACATCCTCCGTCTCACCATTTATGTTTCAAAACATTCGGGTAAAACAAACATGAACGATGAGCTTGCGGGATGTTTTCGGGTCGCTGTTAGGTGCGTGTTAAATCATGGAATGTAACTTTAAAGAAATGGCAAACGTATTGGGCTTAATTAAAAAAGAACATGAGTATTGCAGAGCCTGTATTGAGGTCAAAATGTTGGACTGTTTGTTTGTTCAAATGAGCATTGCGCCTCCTGATTTCTTACTTTGCCGTGTAAATGAGAGGATTGTGAGTGAAGTGCAGAACTGCAACAGCCGAGCAGCCGTGCCAGAGCCCGTGTCACATTCTCTAATTCGCTTGCTGCTGACTGACTATTTTTCGTTCCAGTTTGTCCCTCCTGTACATAGCCACGTCCTGTTTCTAACTTCTACTTGAGGAAAGGCGACATGAAGGAGTGTTTATCGGTCAAAAGATGTTTTAGTAAATGCCTTCTGTTAATTGTTGCATGCTGGATGCTTGGAGCTGTGACTTCTCCTCCCATTACATTTGCTCTTAAGGATTTCGACGATATAAACCACTTGATTCATTGTGATTAGCCGATATGCTAGTTGAAAGAATGCCTTGAAACGGTGTGCTTTGAGCCAATGTCCTCCTCAGTTTTGGCATGGAAATTGAGCATTGCACCGACGAGCTTTGTTTTGTAACTAAATGTTTTCATGCTTCAGCCCAAAAAAAAAAAAAAAAAAAAAAATGTTTTAAATACTCGAGTCTTGACTATTTACAAGATCATGGATGAATCATCTGTATGGCCACATACCGAAAGAAATGTATGAGTGTGAAAATGTTATTTTCTTTTTTCATTTTCTCTCTTGGCTTTAATAATTTTGGATAACGTGTATCCTGCTGCTCACCGTTGACACGCCTTTTAATGACCTGCTGGCATTAGGCTGCAGCCCAAAGACACAGCTATGGCGGAAGAAAAGCGCCATTGTTTCGCATCAGCTGTGGAGAGCCTTCGCCCCCGAATTTAAGAGAAATATTTTGAGTTTTAGTCCTAGCCGTAAAAGTGGCGTGCTGCGTAACCGCTGCAATGCAGTCAGAGGGCTGGATGCGTTCGACATGGTGGCTGCATTCCATTAGACGCAGCATCACGCGGCGCCATCGTGACGCGGCGCAAAACACGCGTACCAAAAAGATCTCCATTGTGTTGCCTCGCCCCAGCGTCAACTACGAGCTGCTCGCTCAAGTCAGTGCACCACTTCAGGAAAAGTGCCTTATTCAGTTAATGCCCATCTATAGTCGGTTTGTAAAATATGACATTACACACCTATTGAACAACGACGTGACTCCGCACTTTCAGACCCCCGTGAAGTGGCTTTCTGTGTTGCATTCTGCTTCAATGTCTCAGCCTTAACTTGATGAACAGTGTTTGCTAGTGACGAGCTGTCCAGGCCACCACCACGCTGTCTTTTGTTTGGAAAATTGCTTCTCCAGATGTGTATATTGTACGAAATGTTTTGGCCCTTATTAGCATTTAAGTGCCTACATTTCAACCAATTATTACAGGACTTTATAAAAACGCTTCTGAAATGGCTTTAACCAGCTAATGTGTGGCGTAGTGTTTGACTAGATGACGCCTTGTTGTAGCCTGGTCAACTTATCACCGGCAGATTGTAATAGAATAACTGCAACACATCCTTCATCACGCCAACAGTGAATGTAATTTTCAATTGTTTTTTTTTTAAAGAATTCTGTCGAGAATGATTTTTTTTTTTTGTTGTTGGTAGTTTTAGTTTTCTCGGTGAAGCTTTTGTCAGCGTTTGATTCCAAGAGCAACGAGTTAAAAAGCTTTTTGATTCCCTCCTGTTTGACCCCTGGCTTACTCGTATGTGCACGCGTCGTAGTGCCATATCCTTTTTCTTTTGTGGTGGAGGCCATCGGTCACGTAGGTACGATATTTCGCTTTGCTCCTGCCGCACCTTTGACACACAGGCTGCACGTGTCCCAAAGCCTCCTGAAATGTGCTGTGCTTATTTTGCGCTCCTTCATGCTCCCTCAAACCTTTTTTTTTATTTTGTGCCTTGTCTTTCTAGTGTTGCCTTGAGTTCACGACGTAAAGCCAATAAAGTTTGAATATTGTTAAACAAATCACTAAGTCCCTTTCATTTTCGTGCAGCAGGTCATTTAGACGACAACCAGCCAGGTCTCCGCCTCCATTGCCATGGTTACAATTGAATGGCTAGTTGCCTGGACGACACAATGTATCAAATTCAAGCTTTGTGCATGTGTGTGTCGTGTCGTGTTACAGAAGAAAACGATAGCAAAGCAGTGCTGAACGAACCGTTTCTTCAAGTTAACAGCAACTTTACAGACTATGTTGGCCCAGATACGACATCTCTCCTCACCCAGCAGGTCTGACACCTTGTGACTGCACACCCAACTCTTTGGTGAGAGGAGTACCAGCGATGTGCTAGGAGAGGCAATTTAGGTAAGATAGTTAGCTTCTAGAATCTAGGCGTTGGAAAGTTGTATCTCATTTTATCGCAGCTTGAGCCGCCCTTTAGTCTTATGTGCGTTTGGTGTTTATTGGAAAGAACCAGCAATATAATTGAACATGACCCAGATCCACCCTCCCAACAGTCAGTACCCTGGTAACCCCCCCCCTCCCCGTCTAACCAGAGGGGTCGACATGCATACGGGAGGATGTCCCATGCGCGCAGACTGTAAAGCACTCTGACAAATTTGCGTATATTGTGCTATACAAAATAAAATAAAATAAATGACTGCTAACTTATCCTACAAACGTGCACCCTCACAATGAGGTTATAAAATGAATCCTGAACTTAAGATGTCCTTTTTATCCTTGTAGGATAACTGCTGTTTTCCAAATCCCCACACGCCCAAAACAAAATGTCTTGCAGACCCACATCCACGCAGCCCTCCTACACACACTGCCCTACTAGCACGTTGCTGCTATTCCTCACCAGGCAGAGAGTCACAAGGTATCAGCGCTGTGGGGTAAGGAGAGATGTTGTATGTGAGCATGGAGGGGGCTTGACTTGCCTCCGCTAACCTGATTGCCGTGTCCAGTCATGCTCTGTAATCTAATATGGGAGCACAGAGGGACAATGCAATTGGTTTAGACCTTCTCTCGTAGGCCAGCTCAGTCCATTTAACCACGCCGTGAACTCGAGTCATGCCAAGAATACCAGGACCAAGCAATTTCGGCTGGATAATTAACTGAAAAGGCTGAATGCGGATGGCAACAACAACCAGCTGCCCTCGACTCCCTCGACCCAGAACCTTCAACATTGAGATGTTTTTCTTTTAGGAAATGACTCAGTTAAATGCATCTTGCTCATCAAAAATGTGACATGGTGTGAAGATACAAATGTTGACTGAAGCCTGATAATAGATTATGCTTGAATTATGAGACCGCGTGTGGTTGTTTCCTCCCTTCGAGAGTGGGTGGCTAAAATAAACAGCAGAGCTAATCTGGGCTGTCATCTGAATAGCATACAATTAAAATTTATAAAGAGTAATGAATTAACTTTTGGCAGTGTGAAATGGAACAATGATGTGGCAAAAAGCAGTTCCTCCTAGTGCAAAGCCACATCCGTTTGTCCTGTGGTCAGGGCGACATTTACTCAGCTGTCCAGCCTGCTGCTGTAACAGAGTTCAGATATCTTTGCTCAATCTGTATGACGGAGTCTACAAGACAGCCCGAGATGAGATCAGCACTGCCACCTGGTGGTTCTAAATATGAATGACAGATCATGGTGAAGCAGTGCAGAAAATAACATGGCAGACGTAAAATGCAAGAAAGAATATTTCTAAAATATGCAAAAAGCTTTATTAGAATGTGAAAACACTAAAAATAGATCAATCCAGTGTCGTTTGAGATGAGTTTTATTCCTGAACTAAAATATTCATAAAAAGGACCCTGTATGGAAAATATTTAATTTAATTAAAAAACACAGGTTTTATGAGCACGTGATCAAAGCGTCCTAAAGGCCATTTGAAGAGTGGAAAAAAAACGGCGGATGGGGAACCTAAAGAGTTTCGTGGTTCGACCAGCTGAAGACAGAAAAACGGTCTCAGAACCTCACGTTTCCCAGGAGAGGTCATCCTGTTTTAGGCTGTTTCTGAACTTCTGTGTGTCTCGAAGAAGCTGCAGGTTGTTGTGATTGGCCCCACCTTTCGTTCTCTTACTCTTAGCCTTCACGGGAGAGGGTACAGGTGGTCTGATCGCACCCGACGTCTTGGCTGCGTGTTCCTCAGCACACAATTTATGGACCTGTGCGGGAGCCGAAGACAGCAACATTAGCAGACTTAAACCATGTAGACTATTAGGGATGGAGATCATCTGCCGCTGGATTGTACAGAATGTGGGTCCACATACCTTCTGCTGATGTTTACGGAGCTTCGTGATCTGAGCTCCCTTCTCCTCCATCCTGGCAATCAAACTCTCCAATTCTCTCTGAAGATCCGGCTTCTGCTTGCAATGTTGGGTCGACTCTATCTGATGGACCAACTCTTGATGCTCACTGACAAATTCAACACACAAACACAGATTATTAAAAAGTGGAAAAAAAAAAGAGGAAGAGGATTGAAATCAAGCTTACTCACAAGCTCATTTGTCCCAGCTCGTCCTGCAGAGCTAAGAGCAGCTCAGAAAGTGAGCCCAGTGGATGCTCCGCTTGTATTGGATCCCCGTCAGTCTCTGGAGATGTTGTGGAAGATGAAACAAAGTCCCTTTGGAGACTTTTCTTGGCCCCACAACCAGACCTGTGCAGTGTGCTCACTCGTTCACACAGTTGTGGCTGATGGTGCTTCATCATGTGGAGAATACTTTGTACGTTGGCGTGGACCGAATGGCTTGGGCTTGTCGACTGTGACAGAAAGAAAATTCAACGGAATTATAAAAAATAAAAGACGGGAAAGTTAATAATAAAGGGCAGAGTATCGGAACTGACTTACCGTTCCCGCGACAAATGGCATTATTTTGTGCCTCGGGCCCCTTGGTGACGGCAGCTCGGTCTGTCTGGAGGTTTTCTGAGGTACAGAACCGTCTTATCACAACTTATTGCAAACAATTTTTTTTTTCTTCTCATTCACTCATACAGGCAGTTAATTAGCTTCATCAGCGAGGAAAGTACCTTGGGGTTTTTTGGGGTTTTCTTCTTTGGCTTAATTTCATCAGCAGTCGGCACAGACAATTGAAAGTTGATCTCCAGCTCCCTCTGGAGCTTTGGACATGGAAAGAGGTTTAAGTCAGTCTTTTTTCCTTTTCAAGATCCTTTGTTGGAATTTTCGTGCATATGTGGATATTTTCAATAGGAAGTCAAATGTATGGAATGGTATTGATTATTTGTATGTATGTTAAATTCTCCTTAAGTCTAAAATGGAGATTTTGTGGACTGACCTGGTCAGCTTTTTCCTGGACAATTTTACGCTCATGCTCTTCTTTCAGTAGTTTTTGCTCAAGAATGGCAAGTTTTGTCTAAAAGCAAAAATAGCATTAAAAAAAGTTCTTGATGGTTAGTGGTTAGACTAATCAAGTATTAACAAAAATGTGAATAACCTCTGCCAGAGTTTGTGTCTGACTCAATTTAAGACACTCTGATTCGAGTTTCTCCAGTTTATCCCGCTGACATTGGGTGTTTGAGCTGCACGGTTGCTGGTTTTGCAGTGAAGCCTAGTGCCGATGTAAACAGAGATTATATGGTTAGTTAGAAACACACATGGTTAATTTAATGTTGTTTTAAATAATATATGAAGTGTTCTTTACCATCAGTTCTCTATAATACATTAGACTGAGGGTCTGATTGCGATGACAATTTGTTCTTTCAGATTGTGAGCACCTGATTCTCCATGAGGACATTCCTCTCCTTCTTAGCGCTTTCAACCATCTTCCTCATGTAGTCTAGCTGCTTCTCGAGGACCTTACACCGAGTCTCTGCAGACTGCATCTTTGAGTCCAGCTCTGACATATAAACACACACAACTATTAGAAGAAATCTACAAAAAAAGCCTGCGGATTGGCCTCCCCCTCTGCTGCTTCCATCAATTACCTTTCTTGCCCGAGTTACCAGTCGCAGGTTGGCCAGCTACAGCTTGACTGTGCACCGCGAGAGAGCCTGTGACCTCTGGACGCCTCCAAGCATCCTGAGAGAATTGACCATAGCTCTTCTGCGCCTGCTTCCTTTCCAGCTCCAACCGCCTGATTTTCTCCTGCAGGGTCTTCAGTGCATCAACAACAGCTGAAAAGGTGTAAACAAGAACAGAAATGCAAATATGGTAACTGCAGCAGGTGGGCACAAACATATTACGAGACAAGAAGATGGAAATAATGGCTGTGCCATACCTGTGCTGTCTATTTTGGGTTTGGTAGTCATCTGTGGGTCGGTGCTGTTGGATGAGCGGCCAGGAAACTCAAGCTGTCTCGCTGTGGGTACAATCCTGTTGGGAGGCTGGTAATAGCTCCCGATGTAACTGTTTTTAGAGGGTGAGTCGAAAATCTACAGACGAGAGTTGGTATATAAATTAATTTAACATATGTGCAGGATCTAGCGTTATAAACTGGTAAACTACCTGACGACAACGAACGACCCGTACTTAAATCTAGACGCTTTCAGCAACAAGAGGCGACCATCTCCACAAAACCCACCGTTATGCTCGAAAAAGCAAACTGTCGAAACTGAAGACGTTAAACGCCCCGCTGACGAAAACAACCCATTTTGTTTACAAACCGCGCTAAAGCGGCAACACCCTCCGCAGTTGTCATTGCGGGAGTTTGTCCAGATGAACGTAACGAAACCCATGTCGAAAATGCTCCTTAAGGTAACATTGCTAACGTAAACAATGCTAACGTAAAGCTAACGTGTTAGCCACATTCTCAGCTAACGGCCGATTCGCCAATGTTACCTGATCGTGATAAGTCTCCATTTTTGTGACACTGCGGTTTGTACTCGCTTCAAAACGAATTTTATGTTCTTTTTGTGTTAATATTGTCCGACTGCTGGTGTTAATTGGCGAACTTATTTCTCCAAGCGCCCGAGCTGCGCCGGTTGTCCTGTTCGCTTCCTGTCACTTTGAGCAGTCCGCACTTTTTAAATTTCCCTCCGTCAGTGGTTCCGCTTCCGCGCAGGTTCCCCCACAGACGCACGCGCGCACACATACACACAATGGCCCCTAAATATCCTGGGCATGACCTCTTTGGCCTTGTTTGGCGTGGGAAAAACCGACCCTGGAGGTATGTAAAATGAGAAGGTGTAACGTCATAACATCTCAACAATTGTCGATGGCATTTTCTGATCACGTGTGCTACTGTTAGCAAAGTGTCTTTACCCGGTAAATGAACCAATGACTCCGTAAACAGTTTAAAAACAGTGTGCAAATAGCCTGGTGCAGTGACATGCAGCGTGTGCTCCAAGTGCGATATAAATTACGCCTTTCCTGTAAAACTAGTTTACCTTGTGGGTACCTTTTGCATGCATCTTTTGTAGATTTAGCAGAAAAACACCATTATGTCCCTTAACACAGACATTTTGTTATGGCACAACAATTAACATTTTGCTAATACATTGTGATGACCTTTGTGTTTGACCTGCTAATACAATTCAACTGGCATTGACCGTCTCAGGGTGTAGTTTGGTGTTAAAAATGGAAATGTACAGTCTCTCTCTCTCTCCCCCTCTCTCTGTCCTCCGCTTTCAGACAAACAAGCTTAGGCGGGGTGGGGGTTGCTTCACGCATTCTGGGAGATGTAGTTTTCAGACGCTTACGTTTAAAACACTCACCGAGCCAAGAGAACTCAACTTCCATGGTACCTTGCACCAGCGGCTCGCCAACTCTTCTCCAACCAATCACGTGTCGGGATCCTCATGACACCATCGCCCACAATGCCAAGGGGCTCCTCTCATTGGTCAGCCCGTCCTGCCACTCAAGCGTTAACCCTCAAGTTGTTGCCTCCCGTCGTTTTCTGCCCTGCCGGGAGTAACGTAGCTGGTCAGGGCTGTGGAAAGACGTCCCGTAGACCTGCACCCAAAGGATGTGGATAAAGTGAGTATTTTAGAATGACAGTTTCTGCGTCTGAACCACAGTGAGAATGTTTGTGTGCAGGAATGTTATTTTGGCCGCTTTGTTGTTGTTATTTAATGGTGTCTTTGTTAACGGGGCAGCTTGAACGCGTTTGCACTGAAGGAAGCCAGGGAGCGATTGAATGTACTCACCAAGTGACAAGTTTCCTATTTGTACCTTTGCAGTCGTGATATGTCTAATATTTAAATATAGATAATGTCATGAACAACAAACCAACGTTGGTAAATAGTCGTTTACAAATGCTGTGTGGTTGTACCACTTTAATTGCCAGATTATGTTGCATCAGTAAATAATCCAGACATTTTTTTTAATGGAAATTGGTAACGGACAAAATACCAATGTTGCCAGTTTAAGCATGATCTGTGTTTAAATCCCTTTTATTCAGGCCACAGCCTGACCTAACTGGTTGTTTCTAGCTAATACTGATATTTGAAAGTTTTGAAAATCAGACAGACTGCTACTCTTCTTATATTTTATTTTTTATTCTTAAGGGTGTTTATATGATATGAAGTATGTTGAAAGACACAGTGCGAGAAGATATGTTAGTTGAACATCATAGTTACCTCCTGATTATACCCTTTTGATATGTAAAATGAGGTTATTAGCAAGCAGAGATGAGTTTAAGAGAAATATTGTAATTTTCCATGGGTTTTTACATCTACGTTATGCCAGGTTTTTCATATTCAATATGCTGGATTATTTAAAGACCATACAATGCTGTCTAAATTTACCATATTCATATTATCCATTTACACACCTTTTTTATTGATGGGATATTTTACAGTTGAAGAATAAACTCATACGTGCTACTTATATGTAATTGCAACATACACGTTTTTTACATATATGTTTGACATTTTCCTGTCCGGCCATATTATCAGATGGGCTCTAATTCCTGCTGCGTTGTTTGTCATAAATAACCTCATAGGTGCGTGCTGCTCGCGCGAAAACAGTTTACGGTTGTTTTCGACGGAAGCGGTGACATGTCGTGACCTGTGCTTTTTGTTGCGTAGCCTGTTGTAAGACGGCACAAGCGTTAGTCCGACATCCGAAGATGCAAGTGCAGGTCCAGGAGCCTCTGGGGAGATGGAACGGGCTGGGCAGCCGGGATGCCGTCTCCAGATCTGAAGCCATGGAGAGCATCCGCCAGGACGTCATGAGGAAAGTGGAGGCCATCGGACCGATTCCCGCGTCCCCCCCAGCTTCAGGGAGGCCTCCCAACAGCGACCTGAACGACGTGCTGGCTCACCTCCTCATGCTTTCCAAGCGGTGTCCCTTTGACGACGTCAAGGACCGATGCATTCGGCTTCTACAGGGCGTCCAGGTAGGAGGTTCATACAGCTTCCAATGTGATCATAGTGAGCATCTTGTTCTAAGTTGCATTACGCTGCGCGATAGTCTCAAATGTCTCCTCCCATACTAGCGCTCTGCTGCCATCACTCCTCTCTTCGCCTCTTCATAAGCATCGCAAACATTGTGGTTTATTCAGGAGGCGACATGTCACAACCATCTGACATCATTTCTGTCTAGTTTTTAACGTTATTCCAGATGTATTGGGGTCTTATTTGGATTGAGGTCACAGCATGGAGCCAAATGGGTTCATGTTGGCGTTGATTCTTTCTAAAAAAAAAAAAAACGGGACCTTCAAAAATAATGTGTATTAACGGTGTTTTGTGATTAATTTAGTAACAAAAGAATTGTGGATTTTTTCTATTTGGTTAAAATTATCCTTATTTACTCACAGAACAAAACGTGAGCCGCCGTGGCCTGTTCTGCTTAACGAGTCCTCTGTTAGGATGCAAAACTAAGCCTGACAACTTTTGAAATGGCCTGTTATTATTTTGAGGGAATAGACTGTCTCGAAGTGGCATTTATTCCTGTTTGTGCGGAAGTGTTTTTGGAATAAGGTGCAGAGGGGGGGGAGAGAGAGAGAGAGAGATATATATGAGAGAGAGAGAGAGAGAGAAAGCTGCTTTGCGGGTTTAGCAGTGCACCATGGTACACGCCGTCTGGTATTTTTGAATTATGCTAAGCTGCGTTGGCTGTAGGATATCCGAAGGGTGCCGTTATGAGCCCATTGTGGCAGCTCATGTCTTTCTAGTTCCACTGTTAAAGACCCCCCTGACCACCACCACACACACACACACCTACCTTTCTCACATTTCCGGGGATGGAGGGGGGTAATGGGGGTAATGGGGGGGGGGGCTTGTGCTCAGACGGACCTCTAATGCCGCAGATCCGCTGATTAAAGACAAAATCTTTGAAAGCACAGACAGTCCGTTCCTCGTGGCAACCCCCTCCCTCTGAAGAGGAAGGCCTCCTGCCCGGTGAGAATAATGTCTCTTAATAAACTCACGGCTTGCAAATATTTGGCCGAGAACTATGTGTTGTGCGTGTTTGTTGCTCCATTGTGCCGATCCGCTGTCTGCACCATTTTCTCATCTGTGGGAGAAAATGTACATAAAGAAAGGAATGCCATTATACAACGTTTGGGCATGGCATGAAAAATCTAACTCTAAGCACTTTACAGTAGAAGGTAATAAAAGCCTTCAGCATACCGCCACCTCTAGAGTCCACAAATGAAAATTGTCTCTTAACTGGCTTGTTTGTGAGATCGGGAGCATTTCAAATGGCTCTGAACATGCTGGGGCCTCCTAGCTGACGACACGAGGGGACACGGGGGGATGTGGGCGGTGAAAGTGCTGACGGAGCTGATGATGTTTACCTGATGGTGGGTGCATTATGCTTCTGTAATGAATCTGTCAGTTGGGCCGGCTGTTATCAGCAGTAACCGGCGTATGAGAGCCGTGCGGAGCGGAGGCTGTGAGGCCGAAGCCTTTGTGTTCGGTGGACGGTTAGAAGAGGGATTTTGATCTGCTCATTTTAACTCACTTTAAGACAAGTGTGCTCATTCCCACTGGCACCGATCCATATTTTTCCTGCAGTTTTTTTAATGTTTTGCTTTTGTTTGCTTTTTTTAGTTGACAAAACAGACATTCGGAAGCATCTACTGGTTAAGTTTCCAGTTCGAGGCAGTCACTTCATTTGCCTTTTGGAAAAAAAAATGTTTCTCCTCTTGCTATCCAAGCCCCCCCCACACCCCCTGCTGCGAATATGCAGGCCAAGGACTGGGCGCCCACTGTCTGCTGTGTTATGCTGCCCCAAAATGTCTGGGGTCAAGGGTTACGGGGCCACCGCTGAAAATAGTCTCCCTTGTGCGTGGGAATGGGGGGGGTTAGGTTCCCGCGGGCCAGTCCTAGTGTAAGAATCTGCCGGGGTCAAAATCCCTTACCTATGCAATCCTGCGCAACGGTAAACACACACACACACACACACACACACAGACTGTCGGTTCATCACAGAGGGGCTCAATTTATCTAACGCACGTCGGGAGCGCTGGATGACGGTGTGCACAAACCCGACGTAGACGATGGTGTTTGTTCTGAGTGCATGAACGGGGAGGGCAGACTCCATCGGGCCTGTTTTCTCGCTCCAGTCACCACGTCCCCTCGCTGGATGAAAGGAGGCCAGTCCGAGACAAGGAGGGGTTTCTTCTTCTGTTATGTAATTGCTCCACAGCGTCGGCGCAATACTCTGACTTGAATCAAGGGGCTTGACTTGAATCATTAACAACAGCTACTGCATTTTGCATGGTACTTTAATCCTTTCTGGATTTTATTACATTTTTTAAGGAAGTAAGTTTGCTTGTTTTTCTCTTATTTTAGACAACAGCTGTGAATGTTTCGAGCGTATGCGCACCCTAATTTTTTCACATACTTATTCAGCTTATTTATGGACATTTATGCTGACTCTGCAGCTCTTGTAATAAACACTTGTGTGTGATTAATTAAGTGAAATAGTTTCCTGGACCTGGCCTCCCAGAATAACCCAGAACACATGTCTGGCTCTGGAAAGCTCTGCAGGCCCTCGGAGATGACATCGGTTATTGATCACGTGCCTTTTTCTCATCTGATTCACTGTCATACAGTTTGTTGAGGGTGCGCACACTGAAGGGTAATTTTGCTTACTTGAATAGAGTGAGGAGGGCCCATGGAGGTCTGGATAGATCTGC